CTTAAATTATTTATCAAAGAATGAAGATATGGCTGCGCCTAAGCTGCCATTTTCTCCATCATTATGAATACGATGATACCATTTTTGGTGCCGTTGTGTCCCACAATTTTAATAATACTGATTGTTTATGTAGATACTAAACATCTGTAAGCATCGTCCGCCTGCCTTCAAGTGTATCTGTACTTTGCTGCCACTTGATACGATATTTACCTCCATCGTTATGAACTATTCTAAGTTTAGAAAAAGAGCTCACTATCGCAAATTTAGTATAGAGCTTGACTTGTTTAAATTCAGACTAAGAGCAATATCTTAAATTTACATAACCTGTTAACATACTTCTTTTTACCTCATGCAAGACAAATTTGACTATTACTTTCAAAATTTTATTATAGATGACGGAGAATTATTTTAGATTGACAACATGTTTTAACATTCATCATAAAAATTAATTTGACGCCAGCCTAAGACAGTATTATATCGATAAAGATGAGCTAAAACTGAACGATAAGTCCACTGATGAAACACTCAATGGATTGTTCTGCAAATAATAAATTTCAAGTGTTGTAAAAAATTTGAATATTTACTGTTTTCCTATCATTTAGTCATAATACAGTATTAGCAGAAACGATAATCATTATGTTATTTACTTCCTGCATTAAATTTTTTATTAGCCAGGCTAATCGATAGATAATGATCAAATTTATTTTTATTGTAGCTCATTTTACCCTATATCTTTAATTAAGAGATTAATCTACTTTATGCATGATGGTAGAGAGTCATTACTATCCCTAAATCGTATCAGGTTTTGCTCAACTAATGTATGGATGAATAAAAAAAATTTGGGGGCAATTTCTTTCAATTCTAAGATTTACAACAAGCATAAGATAGATGGTAATGACAACAGTTGTTGTTCATCTTGGTGAACAACAACTTCATTCTTAGTAAGGAATAACTGCATTGGTTGTTATTGAATTTGGTCATAGCGTATTAGCATCATATTTTACAAATGTACTTACAAACTGTTTTATTAGATGTTCAAGGACAAAGCCATGAAAGAATTAAGCTGACCAACACCCAATTTATTCGCCTACCATGAATTATGGATACAAGAAACTTGATTATATGATATTATCGATCTATTCTGTCAATTAATCTGCTCCTGGCTATCAATGACTGATGATGTCACATTAATCCTCTAAATTATGCCACCTTTTATTTATTTCTACCAGTTATTGTTGCTATTGCTTAAGATAGACAATACATCATTTTAACAACATGATGTTTTTCTAAATTTTTCTTCTCTTTGGACAATAGCTATTATTCAACATTATCAGAGTCATAGCTTTTAGCTTCGTCAGATGATTTGTATTAATATATACAGCATAGTCTAAAATGACAAATAAATACTATTCGCGTGTTTTCTAAAAAAATTACTTGGATTACATCATGTGCTGTAATAAACACAGGCTTGTTTAATCAAGCCCAATTTCTTCTCTACTATTATTATGAGATATAAAGTGGTAGATGAGATCAATAAAGGTTGCATATAAGCATTGAAAGGTGTTACTTGGTAAGATATTGAGCAACTTTAGATGTATTCCAACGTGCAATATTTGAAAATAGTATGAAGGTAGTAATTAAATCAAGTACAGTAGAATTGATAGAACGGTACTGTCATTTTATTAGTAAATCTTAGTCGAGGCCGAATGATAATATTATCAAGGGAACTCTAATGGTGTCTTAATATTTCTTAAATTCAAATCTTGCGAAGTCTTCATATTTCGAATACTTCCTAAAATATGGATTTTCTACTGCATAAAACTACCACTTATATAGTTTGAATGGAGCAATTTAATATCATCGATGCAACTGGTGCTTTATGGTCTTATTTCGTCATAAAACCTGATAACTTTACATTTTCACTCTTTACACTAATTTCAACCTTTACCGCATCTTTTTTTTTACTGTATTGTAAAAGTTATTTCTACATAAAACTGCTGCCTAACATGACTACCACAGTAAATACAGAGAAATAGTATAATATTGCAACGTGGTCTTTAGGCTGATAATTGCTACATCTAGGTACCATAATGATGGTATTTATATCTTATACGATTAATGACTGAGAAAACGGCAGATATCTATTCCTATAACCTCAGTGTAAAGTAACAGAACAGAATAACCGATGATATTTTTAAAGTACTTCTTGAAAAATGTTAACTGTTATTCTATCTGTAAACAGGGGCACTCGATCTTTATAAAAAAATATGAATCAGCGAAATAATAGAAGCGGTCTTTTTGATGTAGTAGCGAGTCTAAATATCAATTCGGGTGTTTGGGGTTGATTTTGGTCATAGTACGACTCCTAATGTTTTAAGATTATTACAGATAAGGTCAAAATTTTCACAATGGTCTATTTGAATGATCTAATCGATATCATAACCTCGTAAGCTGATTGATAAACTGCAATAGCACATATTAGCCTATATGCCGATGGGCATATTTCCGTCATAGATTTCGGATTTAAGCGTATAAACCAGTGTTGTGCGGTTTATCTATAATTTGTTAATGTGGTACATGGTTTATAAATACTTGATATCCACCCTCTAATTTGCCACGTTGGCATTAATCTCGTTCATACTAATAACATTTTACGATAAGAAATCTATTTCTAGTTATACGATGATAGTAATATCTTGGAAGAAAGTCTCAAGATCTGAGTTTAGAGTTGTCAGATATTCAATCTTGCCTTGTTAGGTAATAAAATATGAAACAGTTACCATATTTTGTGCTATTAAAAGCACCACTCTGTAGCAGCAAAATCAAGATGACCTCTGTATAGTATAGCATGCAGTATTGCATTTATTTTGGATATTAGTCGGCTTTTTTCCACTCCTACTTTTAAGTCAATATTGATTTCTTTCTTTCCTATCGATAGCATTACTCATCCCATGTAAATTTATTCCTTCCGTATTTTTTTAATATATCACTTTGTAACAAAATAACCACGATAAAATAGCTTTACTTAAAACATAAAATACGAAATTTACTCCAGAACAAGTTGAAGCAGAAACGAAATGCTTAGGGTTACTAAATGCATAATTTATGTAATTGGATAATGAAGCAGAATGAGTTTCTTAAATTAACGAACACATATGCAGTACCAATTTAACTTAACATACGATAAATTTTATACGATGATAATTTTAATTTTTTAGCATATAAGATCGGTAAGAAAGTAGGTTAGAAATGTTAATATTGATAAACAAATTAAAAACGTTTAAAGATGAAACCGCCACCGCTAATGCATATTTATATTCTGAGCTGGAAGTTTGACAAAGCTAAGCGCTTTCTTATAGTGGCTAAATCAGCAGATCTATATTTAAATTAATTATGTTGTTATTGTGATGTTGTCTATCTTCTGATATGATTCAAATGTCAATCATTTCAATCGCCTTTCTTGCTAAATGGATTTTATAATCTCACTCAGCTTAAAATAAACTTTGATGCTTGTGCCTACATAAATAGATTAATTGGCTAACATGTAAGATGAAGCATAATGATTACCGTAAGTATTGTATGCGTAAGATGATTAACTCTCTAGACAGATTCCTTATATTCCTCATTATAAAATTAAATCTAATAAATCCCATTACATAAAAAGCGATTAGATTAAGACTAAACTTTAAATATGTTAATAGCTAGAGACTGGAGCAGAATGAGCGTATTGATTAGTAAGCTAAACAGGATAGACGAACTCAAAGTAGACATCCCTCGAATTACACAAGCATTCTAAAATACCTTCAATTCTCACACTGCATTCTTCTGATTCATTATCTAGACCATATGTGCACACTTTAAGTCCAGCATAAAAGATTTTAAACGATATAGCGATACAAACTATGATCTCTAATATGCAAAATAAAGAGGATTCTTGAACTGAAGAGTAGATAATTACCGCACTAAAAGATAATAGCGACCTCTTTAAATTGATAGCTGATTTCGAGTTTATAATTTCGTTTTAGTTTATGGATCTTATTCGATTAGGAGTTACTTCAACTGTTTAGTTTTTATCTCAGAATTGATGATTTAACACCAATAAATCCACAAATATCGCCCGCTTCTAATAATCGTAGTATAATCGAAAGATAATCCTAGACAGATAAGTGAACGATCATCTGAAAGATGATAATGGCAAAATACGTCTATAGGATCTAACAATGGATTATAAACTTACAACTTTCGAGTATTTTGAAACATTTAATGATATATATGCAATAAATTATTAATTGCATTTTATTTTATGGCATTTCTATTAATTAAATTAAGGCAATTAGGTTAACAAGTATAAAAATTCACCGTTATAAAATGTAATACATAATTAATTCTACCAGTTAAGACGTTGTTAAAATATAATATACCGTATACCGTATAATTGACAAGTAGTCTGTGATGAATCGATCATTTTGGTAACCTTGGAAGTATATTACAGTTTAAAGAATGTAGGCATATGGATGATTTCAAAAGTATTTTGTATTTGTAGCAAATGCAATTGGTATCGTTCGCAGAATGTCTGCGAAGAATATATGAGAAATAGTCAAAGAGCTAATAAATCCTGGGATCTAAATGTTTCATTTACATTCACAACTACGTAATACAGTATAGAATAAACAAATGCATAAGACCTTGTACCTATGATAAATATTGGATAAATCTAACGGAACAATTGCACTTTACACTATTATGATCCTGCCTTATTATACTTATACTCTAAAAAATAGATATACTGGCAGGTCAATCAAGTCCCTAATATTGTGTCAGAAACAAGTTGGGAAATATTGTTATTTATGTACAAAGCTCAAGCTTTCTCTATTAGACAGTAAAATATTAGAACGTCAAGATTTGACCTACTGTACGTAATCATAGTTGTTACTATAAAATAGATATAGCCTCTAGAATACGAAATTTATTTTTAAACAGCATCAGAGCTTTATTTCATTTTAAGAATAATTTGGCCGAGGCTTCGTTCCTGAACGTTTTGTCGTTAAAGGATTGCCTGCTTCCTTCTTCTTTAGAGCATGATATCGCCAAGCATAGGAAATATGTTCAATCTAAATTAAGACATAATATTATGATTAGTATAACAAGAAATAAGTTAAGAAATACATACCATAGTTTAACACTTTCATTGAAAAAGACTATAGTTTAATCTGCTGTTGTTCATCAAGCAATTCCTTACCGGTATTAAACGATCCGCTTTATTATCAGCTTCTACTACGGTTAGTTCTTCTGGAGTCAGCAATGGCAGTCTTATATGTTTGATTATGCCAAAAGCTACTTCAGATACCTTCTTATCCAAGACCACCTAGTAAATGTGTGGTATAAATGAACTAAGATCAAATTTCATTCTTGGACTGTATATGTTATGTTAATCTATAAACGAGTTAATTACTAACGACTTTATAAGAGCATTGTTTACTATGTCTAATTGTTAGCAGCAAAGCTGACTTACAGAATTAACGGTTGCCCATTCTCGAACAGCTTTAATAATATCTACTTCATCAATATTCAGATTATTACTTGCAAGAGCCACAGCTAAAGCTTCATCTGACATCTCATGGAATCCTTTGGTCTTGAATACAGCCTATTTTAAGAATATTTTACTGATTATTGAGTTCAAGATTCATTTTAGGTAGGATTCCTCATTGCTGCATGGTATTAAGGTAGATTCAGGTTGAAAATACATAGCATGCAAAAGCTATTATCTTTACAGTATGTAATTACAGTGTACCTTAGTATTGGATTCGATAAAACTTAGGCATTTCTTTTGAAGTTCGGCTTGGCCATAAGTGACTGCAGACTAAAGCGATATCGTATTTATTATATATTAATATGCTCAATATATACTATAGGTTACTTAATGTAAGCGTAGTCATGTTACCCATCCTGTCATTAAGTATAGTATCTGCTTACCTGCATAGTTTCACATGCATTGTCAATAGTGATGGAATCGCTCATGAAATTAACACATATCTAGAATAGATTTAATATTATCGATGATATTACATGACAAAGGAAGGCAAACACTATGTCTTACAAGGATTAAGTTTGTCCCAGCTAAGGCTGTACTTACCTTTGCCAAATCACGCAAGCCGTATTCAATGGCTGATGCTAATACGTCAACAACCTTCATAAATTGAGTTGCAACGCATTAGTATTAGAAATATAAGGTAGTAAACGTCACATCTACCATTATATTTATAAATAGATACCTAATCATTATAACTATTTTAAAAAATAAGTAAACCTTACAAATATTGTATTTCATTATCTGAATTTAATGCTTGTATCAACTGTAAGTTTCTTACGTTTTTATCAGTTAAAGAGCAGCAATTGGTATAAATAAACTCTAACACAGCTAAAAAGGAATCAGGTTGTACATCTGATAGGATGTAAGGAACATCGTTATTTTCAATGGCTACGGAATTATCGTGAAACATGGTATCAAATACGTCACATCTATGAAAAAGCATAACAGATAGCAGATAATACTTAGATATTTAAGATTTAAAGTACTGTTAAATATGAAAAATTACGATACAGTTTAGTTACGAACAAATTTTAGAACTGAATAAACTATCATATTTGTAATAATTTGATAATGAACGATAAAAAGATCAAGTTACCAAGCTTATTGATAAATGGTTTTACCTTGCAGATAAAATGCTTCTATGCGCATATATCATTTGTTTGGTATCCCCAACTATAAACTTGATATCACTATGAAATAATATGAACAAAATTGATTAAATATAAAATTATACAACAAATCCTACACTTAGAAATAGAATGCATAAAGCAAGAGATTGGAGTGAATATGCAATTCTAGAATTCCGATGTTAATACATCTGCATATCTTGGAAACTAAGAAAACTTAATGCAAACATTACAGAAATTCTATAATTTCATTTACAAAATGATGGAGACAGCAGTAGTTTCTATCGCTAATATGGATATATTATACACTGTACAGTATTTAACTCTAATTACAGACATGAGCTAGTAACTGAAAGATAAATAATCGAGTAAACTAGCTATCGCCATGATTATGAAATCACGACTAAATATCGTTCTATTTCTATTACTAATACTAACATATTTTGGCATTGTGTTATCATGAAATTGTAATTATAATTATCATAGAGCATTAAGTGTTATCAACAATTTATTAAGGATCAGTAGACTTACCTATACTCTGACTTATTGACTAGCTTTTTCATTTCGGCTGCAAATCCGATAGGATTGCCGTACAAACCTTCGCCTTTCTGGCTATTTGTATTATTTTCCGTCATTTTATTAGTCCTACTAGACGAGGTCCTATGTATTTGATAAGCCTTGGAATGAATGTTACTATCACTGTAATTACCAGCAGAGTTAGTAAAAATTGTCGTCCTTTCTGGCACTATCAAATCAGATTGATGTATGTAATCAGAAATAGGAGAGATTTAATCAACGCTAAGTTATCTTCTTCGTCTATTAATGCAAGGACTCCCTAGTAGTATCGTCTGTTGTCTTGACAACATGAGTTCAAGAAACACGCTACCTGTGCGCATGCGGAGTTCTCTAAATAGTCGATGGTTCATTCTATAGTGGTCAGACAGCTTTATCAAAGCAAGGTCTTCTACTATGAACTATAAGCTATGTTTGAGCGTCCACACTATCGCTGCTGGCTTGAGCTGTACAATATTATCATCATTTCAGTGCCATCTTAATTAATGAATTGATTTATAAACTAGTTTTACCATTTGTTATTATTTTCTGCAAATATGCAGTACGGTATAATGGCATCAACATGGAGAAAAGTAATTCTATAGATAAGAAGCCCAGCTGCACACTCTGAGGTCATCATCATGATACAAAAACATAATCTAAGACGTAGAAACGAACTACGATGCACAAAGTTTACTCTGGATCCATTTCGAATACTAATATTTTAAAGCTTACCGCCTCTAGAATGAGCAGTACACATCACATGGTATGTAGTAGCATAGACTACTAGATATATCAAGATGCATCTAGTAAGTCCATGGCAGTAGAGATCCAATCAATGTAGTTATACTAAAATATCAAATGTGTACTGTAAGTAAGTCTACCAACGAAATCGCGAACTACTGATTTAAATACAGCTACAGCCTCTGGAACGAGCAATACACCTTACTTGATGTGCAGAAGAGATCCGATCGATGTAGTTATTCTAAAGTATCATATGTGCACTATAAGTAAAAGTCTATCTACTACTAAGTCGCGAACTACTGATTTGAATAATAATAATATTATGTAGCTTACAGCTTCTAGAATGAGCAATACACCTTACTTGGTATGCAGTAGAGATCCAATCGATGTAGTTATACGAAAGCATCAAATGTGTACTATAAGTAAACTCTATAGACTAAGTCACGAGCTACTGATACAGTAGCTATTTAGCACGGTGCTACTGTTTACATAAGTAAATGCTAATAGGAGGCGTTGCTCTCACTCTGGTGCAGGATGCATAAGATTGGATTCAGTTATTGTGCAGCAATTATTTTAATCTCTAGTAAATGGGAAAGTTAAGCAAGCGATCGACGAACTACCTCGAATGCCATGATAAAGAATTGAGTATCTCTTAGGAAGATAATGTAGAGGATAGATAAAGTTTGCATACAGCAAAACGCAAGTAGTTATACATTGATTAGTACGGCATGACTGCCGCATTGCTAAACGACAATTTGATCGTATAGAATTGCAAAAATGGCTGACAACAGTCAAGATTTGGGAAAGGATTTGCCATTATCATCTAACGTTGATCAGATATTAATCCATCATTATGTATTAAATTTGGAAATTGATTTTGATAGTCGTATTATCCATGCTTCGGTAATTCTTGTATTGCAAGAAACTAGCAAATTGAAAGCTCTCAATGTCCCATTACAGAGCATTTCTTTGGATTGTAAAGATATCAAGATTGAATCCGTTTGGGAAATTCATGACTATCCCACAACCATTATCGATCACCTATGTTCTCCTATACCGTGCTATCAGCGTCGTCAAATGAACTCAGATCAATTTAATAAGTTATATCGATTGTCGAACGATGCCAAATTGAAAATACGGCTCAATTATCACGTAACAAAATGGTCTATAAATATAATGCCCAAGACAGACTGTGGATACAATTTACATGAAAGACAACCTTGGCAGCCTCGATGTATTTGCATTAATTATGAAACCAACCCTCAAGGTGGATCATTAACATGGGCTAAGGATCAGAACGAAGGGTAATCTAAATTACCTTATACTAAATACATGTAGAATAGGTCATGCAGACACTCTATTATCGTCATGTATTGTAGAATAGATATCGACAGGGTATAACTGTAAATTAATCCAGTGTTAATCCCTAATGTTACGCAAACCTTGGTAGTCCTTGTGTCTTTAGCCAAGGTGCAGCTTTCAACAATAGATCACTTTTTCCATGCCAAGATCATCCTACAATAATTGCTACGTGGCAGGCAAGTGTAAAAGTAAAGTCAAACTATACTGTGGTGATGAGTAGCAATAACGTATGGAGTGAACAAGCAGAAGGTTTGTACTCTCACTAATATACATACATGTATATTGATTAATTGTCATGATAATAACTTCATTCATACACGTACTTATAATTACTTTATAGATTATACGATGTTTCATCACATCATGCTTTTGCCAGTGCCCTGTTCTGTCATCGCTTTAGCTGTTGGTTCGTTTGCATCAAGTTTGATCAAGGTTGTGGACCGGCCAAACATAAACTACAATGATCAAGCTCTAAATTCTAATTCGCATCAAAAATACACCCCTGAAAACAATCCAATAATCTGCAGAATTTACTCAGCTCCCATATTAATTGATATTGCATATGAGAAACTACTAGACTCAGCTGCTAAATACTTAGTTACTGCACAAACGATGCTACTAAGCTATCCCTTCGATAAGTTAGATATAGTTGTCTTACCGAGATGTTTTGGATGTCTTGGATTAGCAAGGTATACACTCCAACCATAAACTATTATTTTTACATTAGAATTTTAGATATTACTATATATACATTGTTAGGGTGCATAACTAAATCTTCTACATTTTAATCCAATCATGGTCAACGTTAATTTACTATGTGTTTGAATTTACATAGAGCTTTGTATTTTATATGTTATATTGTAATTTTGATTAGATGCTCTTATTTCAGTCCTTGCTTGATTATGGTGTCTCCGTCATTGCTTCCTGGTGAAGAATGCCTTAGCTATCGATTAGCTCATGAAATTTGTCATTTCTGGTTCGGAATTCTTATTGGTCCAACAGATTGGACTGAAGAATGGTTTAGTGAAGGCTTTGCAACATATCTAGAAGACAGAGTTCATTGTAAAGCATGTTTGGTGCGTATGACCTATCATATACTCCTACGCGCTCTCTACTTCAATTAGCTTTTATAAGTTGGTTTAAATTTATTAAGTCTGCCAACCATACGGTACGTATAAATACTAACATATTACTACGATTTGGTCCCATGCTATACAAAGATGTCCGAGCAACATACTTTAAACTATATCGAAATATGTTGTAATTTGAGATATCGCAGTCTGAAATCTGAACTTGAAAATACGGATTTATCACTTCAAGAATTACGGTAAATGGTTATTACTTGTTAGAGATATACGTAACTTCAATTGACTGTGCAGTCATTTAGCAGATGCATAGCGTATGATAATAAACTCTTGATTTCAAAAACTCTTGATTTCAAAATCTTTAGACCCAAAACAACAATGATGAATGGAAAAGGTATAGGTATAGAACTAAAGTTCAGTCTAGCGTATCACTTCAAAATGCAATTTGCAATGACGTTAAGATTTATCTATTGGAACCTTTAGATTCCGTAACTGGTATCATAAAGAGCGCATTGGAACCTGTTAAATCATTTCTGCAAGTGCATTACCTAAAGGTATAGCAGGAATAATACTATTACTTATCCTATTAATAACTCAAATTTTTAATAAAGATATACATTTTTAGAGAGCTTTCAACAAAGTTAATTTCCTCATAGTCATCTAATGTTGTCATCTTTCTAATATTGGCCGTTCATACGTACACCCTAAGCCAAAGCTTAGGCCCTATCTTACGCTTTTAAAATTCGAGCTCACCTAATACTCCAATTTTTAAGAATCGCTTCATCCGAAAATAATTTCAAGTTATTAAAGTTCTTGATTGGTTTTGCTAGGGATATTTTCTACTCTATTATCTGTCAAAAATTGTTGGACATAATCAATTTGATGACTATATACGTTCTTTCGTAAATAAATACTGTTTTCAACATGTTAATTGCAAGGTAATTTATAGAACGTGAACAACTTAATCTGGCAGTTTCTATCGTGTACTAATATGGATTGGTTAATGAGTTTTCGATTAATTTATCCTGGTTCTTAATTTTTTATATTTTTTAGGAAGTTTTTGACCATTACTTCGATTTCTTTCCCAAGTTGAGGTTAACTAATCGTCGCATTACCTGTAATACTAATTTAAAACTAATATGAACATAATGTTATTAACAAAGTTATATTTTAAACTGTACTTTAGAAATCAGGAAGTTACTATACGTGCTACTATTAAAGAATGGCTAGACAATGCTGGACTTCCAGAAGTAAATTTATTACAATTTAGAACACATACGCTTAAGAACTATATTTTAGGATTACAAAGTCCTGATTAGGTGAACTACTTTGTTGTAGCAAATAAATCTTCAAAATTTTGAATGTATGGGAAATAAACTTTATTTGCAAGTTCATGACGAGGTATCTATCTCATAATTATTCTGCATTGTACCTAGAACTGCCGTTAATGCTTACGGATATTTAATTACATAAGAGTTTACAATTGTAAATCTTTGAAATTTTCAGTATAAAAGGTGGATTAGATTAAATGAATATAACAGACGAAAACCTCGTCGTATCTATCGTGGCAGCCGAAAACGTCGAAAAGCCTTAGCCGATAACTTACCATCTATAGCCAATGTAAGTAATATATAAAAGCACCTTAATAATTCATAATCATGGAAAGACATAGCTATGTTTCTATTCGAACAAGATTATTACTAGATTGTAGCAGAATGGATTTCACCGACGTCCACTTCTATAAATTTTAAAAATATTTATAGCTGCCACAATACTAATATGTTTTTTATAATGTCTTTTTTAAAGTTATCAACCAAGCAGATTATCTTGCTTCTTGAAATGCTATTAGAAATTGAGTGTTTAACTATAACGACATTAAAGAAACTTTGCCAGTATTATCATCTTGAAAATGCAAACCCAGAAGTATCTACTTAATCTCTATTCACTTTTGGTGTTGTTTTTTGCTTTGTAGTACTGATTTTCTTTTATTGTAATACTAGATTCGTCATAGATGGTGCGAACTAGTCATTAAACATAGGTAAAATCTCTTTTTATAGTCATTTATGTATTAGTTCAAATAGTTTATACACGCTATATTAACTGCATGTTTCATTTATTAATTATTCTAGATACATCAATGGATACAAAAACATCGAAAACTTGCTAATAGAAGATCAGGTAAGTCAATCTCTACGCTTATAACTAAATTTGTTATAACTGTTTGCCAAAGTAAGGCGTTGCAATACTAAATTATTCTTTTAACAGGGAATGGGGATATATTTATATGGAGAACTGGTCCTATACGATCTTAAAGATTTAGCCAGTAAAATTTATGTAGGTATACAACACGAAATGGATCGAGATGCTACAGCTATAGTTGCTGAACTCTTATCGTCATAATTTATTTCTCCTATGTCTGAGAGTACTATCAATATTTTATTCGATACATTTAAGAAACGTTAAGATGTATAGTTTAAATTATCATAATATGATACTTTATGTCATGCCAATTCTAATAATAAGGAATTTAGGTAATAAATGCTTATGTATACGTTTGAAAATCGATTAAACTTAGAGTGGTTGCTATACAGAAGCTGATGACATCTCTATATGTATAACAAAATTTTTAATGTATGCTGTTCATTACATACCGTAGCAAAAGATCAAAAGGCATATGCTTGATACTTGTTTTTCAGGAGTGTTGATTTAAAGAAATAGTTTTACTATTTTTGATACTATGCCTGGGTTTGTCTAGACTCAAACAATTAGCCTATGCTGAGTATTTAATAATGCATTAAGCTACTGAATTAAATGCAATAGCAGCTGCTCTTAGTTAATTCTCGATAAATACTTATTTTGATACAGTTTGTTTTTTAACCGTAAATATTGGGTAAGGATTGGTATTCGATAAAAGTTATGCAACGGAGCCTCTGTCTAGAATAATGGGTCTTGTAAGTCGATAGTAGTTTTGCAACAGTATCTATACTGATTGATTGGGGATATATAGTAATGGCATTATTTACCACTGGTTTTAGACATCAGACTATTGAGTTAGATAGGATATTGATTCGTTCCCTGTTTAAATAATGATCACCACTAAATGGTGCTCCACAATATCTATACGTATCTATTGACTACATCACTTTATAGAATATGCTTATACCGATAATGATTTCACGCTAAATGAACTATTATTTACTGAGATATTTACATATATTTGAATAGCAGAACTTACTTCAGGATATTTTGTATTTATGCTACTAGCAATATATCACTTCACAATAATTTAAGCTATCTCTTTATTAAAGCTATTCATGTAATAGTAACTTGCAAAAAGGCTTATAATATATGAAATATTGACATAAACATCCATATAACTCAATCTAATCGCTTATATAAGCTATACATTAATCCACTAGAAACATATGAGAATATTTAGGATATGTAGAAAGTTAACAAACGCGAGATGTTGCTATACCAGTCGTAAACGCCCATATTCTAATTTGTCCGAAGCACAGTCAAATTTGGTGCTTCCATTTCCGATATTATAAAGAAGGCAATTTGTACTCCCTATGTGGTCTGTCTACTCCAAAACAAAAAGTTATTGTTGTAGTAGTAAGAAAATCGTGGTGGTAATGGCAATATTATATTCTAGCAGAGTACCGCAGAGACATGGCGACACCACTAATTAAGAATAACGTCAAAATACTACATATATGTATAGGTGAACTTATATCAGTGTTAAGAATATTTTGATAGAAAATATCAAGAAGTACTGTGAATGCAGCCTAGATAATGATGTTACAGACTGGCTTTGATTGTATTGATGTTAATTATTTGCTATAGTACGGTACTTAGGCAGGAAAATGTTAAGTAAGTAGGAGAAATAACTCCACCGGCTAGTCTTAACTGAAAGGAACTTAGTCATAGGTTATAATTGCTGCCCTTCTTTCTCTTAATAATTTAAAGTATAGTGCACTCGAAGTACCACTTATTAACTTCTCATTAATCAAGCAAAACATTATGATACAAATATAACGAACTAAAATCAATGTAATCGACTTTCATCCGTTACAATCGCTGTTCTTCTCCTTTGATAGTTTGAAATTAACATCTGAAAGTACTGCTAACTTATTCGTAACCAATTTCGATCGCTTCCCTTAAAGTTATTATTCAATAAAAAAGCAGATCTACCAATATAGTCCTTATAAAGAAACGCTAACGCAACATTGTGTAGTAACAATTAGACCAACTTCATTAACTTTTCAATATCAGCCTTTAATCACTTGGAATATCTACTATAGGTTTACTTTTTAGATCAATTTATACCATAACAACTTGGATTATATCATGATTTCGGATCAAGATTTATGTAAAGTTCGCGATCACTACCCTCCACTCAAAAATGATCTTATTTTACGTGTAGCCCGTGGCCAACATACCGAAGTTATTCCCGTGTGGACGATGAGGCAAGCGGGTCGCTATTTACCTGGTGAGAATGTTTACGAAGCATGCAATATCGAATACTAACTACTGTTATTATGTGGAGTTCTACGTTGATATCTTCATTAGCTTTTATCGCGTCATGTTTTAAGATATTTGATACTTTTTGCTATGCAAAGTAGCATAGTAAACATTAGCTTGGATTCTTATTAACAGTTACTTGCCTTATTTGAAGAGATTAATAATATAATCTGAAGAAAGAGACTAATCTTTTCCATACCATCACAGAGTTTAATATTCTATTTATGTTCATAGTACAGGGGAAGATTCAATAAATAGTTGTCACAAACGATAATGTATATACGATATAGAGCTAAAACTAAGAATTTTGTCACAAAATCTTGCGATAAAGACTTTTCCATTTATTACTTGGAATAAACATATTCGAAATCTTAATATTAACGAATTTTCAGTGATTAGTTAATCATCATCAGCAATGTTTGGTTGATATATATGTAGCCAAATTACTACCGTAACTTATTAAAGGGTTTGATTTCATTACCTTCTGATGCTTAATAGCGTTTATATATTTTGACTAGAGTTTAGAGAAGTCAGGAGTCAAAATGACTTTTTCACTGTTTGTAGAACTCCATCTTTGGCATGCGAAGTTACTTTACAGGTAAATGGAAAGGGCTTTGCTCTATTTTATGCAACTCCAATCGCGATACAATACATTATGTGCAACGTTAAAATATTCATCGTGAAATTTCTATAGTAGATTTATGAGAATGTTTATTTAATGTCAATATCTATAGTAGTATTCATTTTAACAAATTGTAGATTCGTAGGTGCAAGATTATAGAGACTTCATAGTGCATATGTTGAATTAGCACAGAGAAATAAAACATAGCAATCGATCATTGCCGAGTTAATTAAGCAACTATGTAACAAAATTCCATGGCTTTCTTCCTTTATTAGCCAATCAGGAGATTTAACTTAGATGCTGCCATTATCTTTTCGGACATTCTAGTAGTTCCTCAGGTAATACCATTCTATCTTAGTGTAGTATAATAAAGAACTATCATGACATCTATGGCTGTTAGGCTGTTATATGTAGTAATCTCAATATATAGAAAATCCAAATTGATAGTTTCTCTAATTGATTAAACATAAGTAAATCAGTAATAACAGCCTGATGTTACGTATCTTAGGCTTTAGGGATGAATATTGAAATGATACCTGGCAAAGTAAGGGAGGCAAAATGTCCTATTTTACTTTCAATTATAATTCGTATAAGTACCGTAATCAGAGTAGTTACATACAATTAATTATTTATACTGTCGTATGCATGGATATGTAGGGCCCCATTTTTACAAGTCCACTCGAATCTCCAGACGATTTAAAGGTTTTTTTATTTTTGATCTATTTCAAGTTTCTATTCTATTAACAGCAAATTGTTCAGCAAACAAGTTGTAACTTAATATAAACTATAATTTAGAAATATTAAACTATCGTAACTAAATGACATGTGGTATTACTCAATATTTACTCATATCTTAGGAATTAGATAGGAATATAGACGTGGATGAGAGACTTGGCTATGTCTTTGACGCTATTACATTAACTAGACATAAACTCAAAGGTCAAGTGCCATTGATTGGATTTGCTGGAGGACCTGTAAGACAACTATATCTACTCTTCTATCGATATTAATGAGTGATTAGTAATATTTAGATTCATCCTAGTAACAATTGCTAGTTTATGTTGTAGTGGACATTAATGGCGTATATGATAGAAGGCGGTGGTAGTTCTACAATGTCTAAGGCAAAAAAGTGGCTATATCGCTATGAAGAAGCAAGTCATCAGCTCCTTCGCCTTCTAGTCGATGTAATTGTAGAGTATCTTGTTGGCCAAGTCAAGGCTGGAGCGCAGGTAGTACATGATACAATGATAATTTTACATTATTTAGTCCAAATTTAAGATGAAAGCTTAAATTCCTTCCGTAGCTTCTTCAGGTTTTTGAATCCCATGCCGGAATCCTCGGTCCAGATATGTTTGATAAATACTCCCTAACTTATTTGCAGCAAATATGTCAAAAAGTAAAGCACAACTTGGAAGCAGCTAAACTTGAGGTTGTGCCTATGGTATGTAGTTACTTATTAGGCTTTGACAATACAGATAAAAAATTTAAAAAGTCATAAAGTTCGCTATTGCATGTTTCAGATTGTGTTTGCCAAGGGAGCGCATTATGCGCTTCATCAGTTATCTAACATTGGTTATGACGTAGTTGGTATGGATTGGACAATTGATCCTGAAGTAGCAAGGTAAAATATAAGATTTATTTTACTATAGCAGTAGTCGGATGGAGATATCAAGCATTTTATGACTGCACTGTATATTTCATATATCGCATAGAACATAAATTTAAAGAATATTTTAGATTATATCAGATACTCGAAATTAATTAAAGCCTAAATAAACGGGTATACAAGTACGCCAAGTAATAATAAAGATTACTTTGAGACAGAGATCCAAACAATTCGTTATTTTTATAATCAAAATTACATTGAAGCTTTTTTGATATAATCAACAGAAATAAAATAGGCCATGAAGTAACAATTCAAGGCAATCTTGATCCATGTACTTTGTATGCTAGCAAGGTTAGTTATAATTTCAATTTACTATTTATTGCATATGTTGTATGCAGATAACTATTAAGACATATAGAAGAAACGATATTACGTTTGAATAAACTACTTAGCGTCAGTCCGCTGATAAGTTATCAGCGCTGCTAAATTCATATTTCTATTTTACTTTATAGACTGAACTCGAAGAAAAAATACAAAAGATGGTTAAAAAATTTGGCGCTCAACGTTACATTGCTAATTTAGGACATGGAATTTATCCAGACGCTGAACCAGCGCAATTAGATTTTTTTGTAAGAACCGTACATGAATATTCCAAAAAACTTACAAACACCTAACGCAGAAGTCTAGATTTGTGATTAACTAAGGAGTGGTATTTACAATATAAATTTTGGCCTCGAAGAGCGTATCTTATCACACTTGTTTATACCTTAAATTAAACAATTGCATTAAAAGGGGAAGCGAACAAATTCGATACATCAATATACTGCATTACATAAAGTTTCCAGGTTGCAGTATCAACAGTAATATCAATGCTTTTGCTACACGTTTAGGTATGATATAGCAGTATTACTCATCACTAGAAATAGTCCTTATTATTTCAAATGTGCCGCATTTTTGCTCTGCTTCCCAATCAGTTTGTGATTTACTTAAGTCGATATAATCGTTTTTTTGCACTGGAGAATTCTTTACCTGCGACGAAATTTAATTTTAAAAACGGAATATATCCATAATAATATATCTATAGCTTACTTGAGGCGAATATGAATTGCATTTATTACATACCGTCAATATTGTATCAGATGCTTTCCGATCAATTTTGATTAACATTTGCTATAAAAGAAAAGAAAGATGTTAATAATAAAAGAGCTAGGACGCACTAGATATAAGTAATTTACTCACTGATTGTATTTGAAGTTTCTTATTTTGCTTTTCAAGTTCTGCCTCCATTGAGTTCAATTGCTTCTTAATCGGATCAGGTAGCTCGATATGGCTATTTCTTTTTATATTAGTAAGCATCCGTATAGCAATTACAATGCATGCAATCGGAAGTAGTGAGACTACAATAATAACAAAAATGAAAACTATTGCTATTACTGGCTGCCATAGAGGTGGAATTTTTCCTAGCAGTGGCGAAAATGATTCACCCATCAATTCAATCAAGATTCGAAAGTACTCAAATGTAGATCCCCATATACAAGACCACAATGCCTATCGTACAGATAGCAACGATAAAAAAAGAGGCAAATAGAGTTAACTGACGTTATCAAGTATAGTTACAATTATAATTACGGTATATATTATCATTAATACAGGAAATCTGATAGATTACTACGCACGTAATAAGCAGGGGTAATATATTTGAGCGTTCGAGAATTGTAGACATTTAATACCATCATGCGGTGTGTTAACATATAGAAATTATTTAATGAATTTAGAGTAATTACTCAATAAATGACAATTCTAAATATTCCGTTGTAAATACTTGACCTTAGACCAGCAAATAGAGTAGTTTCGGAATAATTTAATTAAATCAACTCTGCTTGCTAAAGTCCTAGGACAGAGCAAGAGTCCTTGAAATGGGATTTGTTATTTTGTGGACATCATTTATAGCATGTGCACAGTACCATAGAACTAGCAATCATTTTGAAATAAATATTTAAGATGTTTTGACTAAAAGTACCGGTATACTGTAGATAGGTAAAGGTAGGGTGATAATAATTTATTAATTACGGGGCAGAATTAGCAGTCGAGAACAATGAGTCATTATGCTGAGCATTTGCAAGAACCTGTTGCAGAAATATGCTACTGGATTAGGATTTAAAGTAATAACTGTAGAGCAATGTCTAGGTACCAGTACCTTGTTAGGTGTGACATCAAGAAGAGCATCTTTCATTACGTATTTCATATTATCGGCGCAGGGATCACTGGAAACGAATAAAAATTCATACATATACTTTCCGATAGTGCCTGCAAAGGATCGTTTTAGCTCTGCTTCGCGATATCTTCGGCACTCAGTCTCTAGGCGTGAATTCAGTAAACTTTTACCTATAGCTTCTTTATATAATCGTAGCCATTCCCAAGGCCAACTGAGTATGAGGCCAAAAACAATAAAGTAAACTACTAATGATATATAATTACCACGACAAAGAAGGAGGATAGTTGAAAATATTGCTGCAAGAACTATCAGCAATACAACTTCAGACTTTACGTAAGAGTCAAGCATAAAACCGGAGTCTACATTAACAAATGAGAATGATTGTGGTTGTGTCCTGTCGACGATAATATTCATAATTTCATCAACACGATCTAGGTTACTGATATCGTCAATTAGCATTTCGAGTGATAGAATTTCCGATGTTTTGATGGAAACTGATAGTGTAACCTCTTCATTCGTAGTATTTATTTTTTTAAGAACATTTATTAGGCGTTTAACAAAAGTTTGATAATAATTTGAATGCAAATATTGATTGAGAGCTGCTTGCTTGTTTAGTGGATTACGATTACGTGAAGGTGAGTCTATATTTAAATCTGATTTGATGGATTGATCGTCAATAATGTTTAATTTATTATCTAAATGATTAGCATCTGCATGTCTATTTCCTTCCAGCTTGATTGGTTGATGGTTAGTTGCTTTGAAGTTATTATTTTTAAGATCATTTGAAGTAGAATCCTGTTGCCTATTTCTTGAGATCTTTGTTGATTGATCGTTGATTGCCTTGACATTATTTTTGACATCATTTTCAGGTGAACCTTTGAGCTCTAAATTTTTGACAGCAACATGTGCAAATTTATCTCCTTTAGCTGTATAATCAGCAATACCATCAAATTCATTATCTAAATTATCCCAAATTGGTTTATTTTTCACCTGTGATTCAACTAATTGCTGATTGATAGTATCGAAGTCGTTGTCTAATGATGGTACTTTCAATTCATCGTCAGCAATAGATTGTTGAGGCAAGCCACAAATTATAGTGAATAAAAACAATCGATGGAATAACATCATTGCTTTGTGTCCAAAAGTTAAATTTGAACAGATAATATAGGCTATCGTCAAGAATTACTACCCTACCGAGATATTCGCACAGATGCAATACGCTGTAATAGAATGTTCTATTCGAGCTAGATGCCGCTTTTGAAGTATTACCAGTTTAGCCTAATTGAATAATTCACTGGCGAGGAGTGCTGCTGCAATGATATAATCTTCGTGTCAGCAACAACGGATGGTTCTTGTCTTGACTATCTTGTAGAAGATACTATAGGGAGTAAATTTACAGGCCACGAGAGATATCATTAGCCATAGATAGTCCTGAATGAAGTGATGAATAAAGCTATAACAGGTTATAACAATAATCTATCCGAGATTGCCCTGAATACGCTCTTGATTAATGAATTTTAATCAATGTTCTTCGAACGCCATTGCCACTCCATCAAGCTGCTTGGGCAAAATGTGTTGATTAGTATGATAGAAAAGTTAGTTTAGTACACGAAACTATAGACTGTGTGTTAGCATTCTTGCAAAAAAACGTATAGCGATAGTAGAGCATGTTATATATCGTGGGTTTACGCTATGGAGTATCTCTCTTGCGACACAGTACAAACCATTACAGTACAATATACTGTAAAAGGGGCAAGGAATTCACACAGTGACATTAGTTTTGGTAGGATAATGTCGGTTAACAAGGTTGTGTCGTATTTGCGCTGCCACTACAGTCTATGTTATATAAATCGTAACAATGAATGCGCTGTATCTGTGATGTTTGTTCTACTGGCAAAAACGATGCCACCTTACTTACAGTTGAAAGTGGTCGCTACACGTGACATTATTTCAAATCTTTTTTTTTTGCACTGTAGACTGGCGAGTGAAAGTAGTGTCACCCTTATAACAGTGTATTCAATACATCTTGCGACATTACTTTTGTTGCTAAGTACTACAGTATTGAATGTACTAGCGGTAAGGCAGTCCATGATGCAATCATCCAATAGGAAAAAATTTCAGCCTTTCAAGACTCTTACTAATACCTATCTCAGGATCGGCTGTATGAGTAGTCCTGTCGCAGACGCCAAGATGCACCTAGATCGAAGCTTTTTGACCATTTTTACCCCTCGCATCAAGCGGCTACGCGACTGCGTTTTCACAGTTACTTAGACTGGCGTCGAGGTAGGATTGCAAGATTAAAGACAAGGAAACATGCTATCGGCTCGCTTAACAAGGCAATTAGTCCGATTTAATGGACGTGTAGTGTTACAACAGAGTAGGAATTATGCTGATGCAGCACCAGCTAGCCAATTGCTGTTAACATTTGCTTCTCCCAATCAGGTAATCAATTGAACAACGTTTCTTCGCTAGCTCTTTCAATATGGCGGCTTAATCGACTCCGTATGGCGTTATTCAACATTCTTATTTCCTTTTCATTAGGCCTTCTATAGCAAACAAAACGTCAAACAAGTTGATGTACCTTCATTTAGTGGTAACTTTGGTATCTTACCTAGTCATGTTCCTACTATTGCCGTTATCAAGCCTGGAATTGTAACTGTATATGAAGAAGATGGAACGACTTCCAAGTATTTCGGTAACTTTCTATTAGCAAACAATATCGACTCATAAACATACTTGATTTACTGTACTAGATAGAACAGATAGGCAAGATGACATTGCTTACTCACGAAGAATGTAGCGTCTATTTTACCTTTATACGGTAGTACTAGTAATTCGATAGACTAAAAGTTAACACAGTACTTAAAAACTGGAGATGGATGGCATTTGTCGGCATAGATTGACTGTATCGGATACTAGTGGATTACGTAGTACAGATAGACACAAATTTAAATTCGATGTTGTTATCAAATGATAAATTGAATGCGTTTTACTTCTTTTATCCAATATAGCAAGCAGCGGTAACATTTCCGTCAATGCAGATTCAACTGTTCAAATTCTTGCTGAAGAAGCTTGTCCATTAGATCAGCTAGATGCTCAGGTACAGTAGTATATAGACATACACCGGTATAGAATCCTTTTTCAACCTATTTGTGCTTGACGAATTGTGTTAACGTAAAGTATACTGAAATCATGTTGTATTACTGTGTAAACCTATTACTGTACTTAGATGCTCAACTACAGTAGTATACAGACATACACGCGTATACAATCCTTTTTCAACTTGTTTCTACTTAGCTAATTGTTAACATAAAGTATACTGAAATCAGATTGTACGTGTATTACGCTATAAACCTATTACTTAAAAATTTCCATTAAGTTAAAACTAATTTCCTTTTTTCATAATGAATATAGAAAGAGTTAATAGCTTAATAGGATAAATTGTTGATAAAATTGTGACAATATCGACTAAACTGACTAGGTTTACAAAGTCAATGCTATCCCTATTGCTATCACATTTATTACGTCAGTGTCAGTAAATAGCAGGCCCTTAGGAACGAAGTTCTATCTATAAATATGTCAAGTTGTATCCGACTTTCACCAACAGTCACAATTCTTATCGTTTCTACTCTAACATGTGACAATCTAGGCCGCGAGAGAAGGTTTAGAGAAAGCTAACCAACAGGTTACATCGGCATCATCAGATGAAGCTAAAGCAGAAGCGCAAGCAGCCGCCGAATGCTATGAAGAAATTATCAAGGCTACTAATTAATTAATGTTATCGATGTAAAATTTTGTAATGAAGGCTTACCAAAGTACAAATTTAAGATACAATTTTAACGAACATTTAGCTTCAACTTCAATAAATACCTGAAGAATCTCAAAAAGCTTCTATTACAAATTTGTCAATACCAGCGTAATATCATGGGCTGATATTTTAGCAAGTACAGTAGGTACAGGCATATTTTTGAAGACCAATACTTAGCCATGCTACGCGTGTGTGAATCTGTTTTAATCAGAACTGATCAGTTACTCATGAAATAATGGAGGTTGCTACTATACGGTCGATCCAATTCGTAGCTTCGCCAATTAATCCATAACAGATATTAGAGATACACAATTCTTTCCTAATATATATTTTTGAACTTCATTATCGTTTATATTTACTACAGTACAACTATTCAATAACGAGAATAGATCACTAACATTAGGAATTTCTTTCTACCCTCACTGTGAAAATTATCAGCTTGCAGTAGTAGCTGTCAGTTATATTATACATATAGAAATAGCTAGCGTGCTCATACGATTTTCGTAAATTGTTAATCATTAATTCTTAGGCATTGAAGCTACATTAACTTTTTCAAATTTTATTAATTAATTTAATTGCTTTAAAAGTTGATGGTGAAATTATATAAAATATTTCAAGTATATCAAAGTATTCAAAATCGCAATATTTACAGTACACCGTGTCCGAATTGGTAGTCACGGTAATGATGCGATCAGTTCACAGAATTGTATAACCATTATCAACGCTAACAGATTCTCTTTTTAAAAGCAAAACGCATTTAACAAAATTTCAGTGCGGATTACACAGGTAGATAAATTACTGTATACAGAGGTAACATGGGAAGATATAGGATGCATATAAAAATGCGATAGCTATTCGTACCGGTATTGTAAAAACATTTGTTACGGCGCTAAATATCAAGAGTAAAAGAACAAAGATCTCTTGATTTCATATTTTACAAACATTACCAAACCATATTGAGTTTTTAGACAGCTGGCGTCTCCATTCCCTTTAACTGCATGAACGCAACTGTAGCCGGCTTCTTTTTGGAAATATTCTTTATATTGTAAGTGTTACCTATGCAAGATTCAGTATTGAAAAGTTTAAAAATCCTAGTTAAGTCTATATCAAATCATGTAACTCAAATATCAACATTGAAATATTTATACCGACAATTACAAACAACTAACCTTCAGGTACAAAAAAGAAACTTCTTTCATTTAATATCGTCTTCTTTCGACCGATATCAACTGCTAGCTTTCCTTTTAAGATCACGAAGTACTGTAATAAAAGAAAAAGTAATTCATCATGTAATAACATTTGATCCTAAAGCTGATGCCTACTTACTATATACACTATATACTTACCATACGATCTTTTCGAACAAACTGTGTTCCCTTTTCCTTTTCCGGTGCTATTTCTAAAAGGCCAATTGCTCCTCGATCATTCGTCCAAACCTTAGCCATCTTCAAAGGATCATTTTCAGTGGCTACCTCACCAGCAGGGTTTTTTAATGTTAGCATCGACTCGGTTGCTACAACAGCTGTAAATGCAAATATCATACAATCGCCTTAATAAAGGTGAGAATGGAGGGGTATGCCCAGAACCTAAGGCGTTATTCAGTAAACTTCTTTCTGTAATTCTGTCAGGAAGTACATATAACTCACTTGTAAGCACTTCTTTACTTTGCGAAGAATTAAAAACCACACCCGATGGTGTTGCTGTGGTTTCATAATCGTCTAAACTTTCAATCTGAAGAATAAAGGAAAGAGGTTAATTTGACCCATCTCTTAGTATAATAGTGAAAAATATTTAATATTAATATAACAGCAAATGTATTTTTGAATAGATCACCTCATCTTCGCTGGACTCTGTCTTGATATCACAGTCTATGAAAGAATGAGTTAAAAAAAAGCTGAGACATAATGACAAAATATGACAAATTTTAACCTAACAAAAATATTGCTTAAAATAAGGCGAACCATATTCATCGGATAAGACTCCTCCTTCGCCCATTTTTCTTATTCCAACACCATTATGGCGTATTTTCTTTGATACATGAGGGCTTATAACTCCTCCAATTTGTAGTCCTGCCAATGGTATAGCATTCGATGAGTTAGCATCAATTGTAACATATTCTAACTGAAAATCAGACACATATTTATGCGTACTATCGTACCAGACGTATTAGCTTTATATTGAATCCTTTCGCCACGCCAGTATTCTAACGTGCGTACTCTCTTGCGATTACTTCTACGAACACCAGGAGTTCTTTCATTTTTAGGTTCGACTAATGCATCGAATGAAAACGTTAGTAATTTTTCACACAGCATAGCAATGAGGAAAAGGTGCCAGGTAATAAATTACTTACTGATTTTTTGAGGCTTTATAAATACTTTTTTGGCTAAATCTAAAAGCAAGGCATCATAAATTGATATTTTAACCTACTGCAATACGATACACAAATTAAATTAATATAGTATCTAACCAAATGATTTCTTAGGCCCTGTCGAGATATGAGATGATCGATTAATGTTCTTCTTATCTAATTCTGATGATATTACAACAGACTCATTGGTAAATACACTCGAATTAGATAATGGTATGGCAAATTTATGTCGTTTGGCTTTTCTAGTACTATCTTCTACATCTGGTGAAACTTCCACTGAACATTCCATATTATTTTCTTTCTCTGTAATACAGTATCAGTAATGATATTGATAAGCTCCATATTCAGCAATGTTTATATATCACGATTTTAGTATCAAATACGTAAATCATCTATCTCAATTCAAACTGTCTCATACAATGCATACCGTCGTCGATATTGTTATCTACGGTAATTTCGGCAGTTGCAGCAGGGTGTACAGAAATATTGTTTTCGGCAATGTCCACATTAACAACTTCATCGTGTGTAATGTTGTCGCTAATATGCTCAATTTCTATACTTTCATTACTATTAACAGGTATTTCGTCTATAACATCGACTTCTTCAGTCATACTTTCGTTGCAAGGTCTATCTTCCTCAATTTCTACAATAGGTGAAGGTGCTTCATTTGATAAAGTATTGTTCTGCCCATCCTCGTCACAAGAGGAAAAGCTAATATCATTATAAGTCCTTTAAAAAGGATTAAATAAGAATTCCATTAGAATCTGCACAGGTTACATATAATACTACTGTACTTCAACCATAGCATTGAATGATCCATATTAGCGAGTACATCTCTCCGCGTAACTAAATTTGAGTAAAATACAGGATTCGGATCTTTTTTCTATTTATTACTAGAACATTGCTACGAAATACTACAGTGCCAATAGGATATAAAGTATGCAGAGATCGTGTATCATTACTAAATATTAGCTTAAGTAGCTAACCGTAAGCTTGTGAATTTGTCGTTGTCTTCAATTCCTACAGAAATACGTACAGATTGTCAGTAAGTACATGTATTAGTTCAAGGTGCATAGTCTTTAGAAATACTATAATTGTACAGTATACAGTAGTTTTACTCAGCTTTAAAAATTAAACTACATTTAACAAATAGTTATATTTAATAGTTAATTTTAAGTATGGAATGTCTTTATGTACAGCAGTTGTAGAGTGTACACCATATAGTAGCACAGTAAAGAAATAATCGTAAAAAGATAATAATTTATAAGGCTTACTCTTCATAATATTCGTCGTTTTGGGCGTACTTTGAGCTCTACTATTCTTTTCATTATCGCGAGTAGGAGTAACGGTGATATTATCTTCTATGAAATCGATATGGCTGTCACGTAATCCCGGGTCACTTTGATGCTTAGGAGTTGTTGTTAAATCAGGCAGTATTTGAGACTTCAATTTACTACTTTTAGGAGTTGCATTGGACAGGACTGAATCGTCTATTGAACTTTCTTGTACTTTATAGCAAAATCGTAAAGAATTAAAAATAGTAAGCGATATACTAAGCTCCAATTCTTCATACATAGACATCAAGGATAAGGAACGATAGAATTGATTAAGAACTAGAGAACTGCTGGTGAGAAATTATGAATCAATCATACGTATTATAGAATATTGAATGCATAAGTCACTAGATGTGAATTTTAAATTATGTTCCAGCTGCCTTATTCATACACGTATTATAATGTTAGATTTTAATCAACGAAGTAAAGATTTTTTATTACGACATGGCACATACTTGAATCCAAATAATCTTCGAAGAATTCAAAGCCAGCATCATCACGCCGGACTGCTTTTTTCAGACGTTTGGGTTGAGAGCTGATTAAATTAAGGTTATCATTTACTCAATCTCAATATTATTGTCCATATTCAGAATTCAGTGTATATTAATGCCCAAAAAAAGTAATTTCGAGCAAATTTCTAGTATGATACTGTGGAAATAAAACACGCATTAACATGATACAGATGAAGAAAACTTACTTAGCATTTAGCAATTTTCGCAATTTTTCTGGCAATCCTAATGATAAAGGGCCTACATGATCGAAACGTGACTAAAAAATAGTAATATACAAAATTAAGGATTTCTATATATAAAATTCTATCTCTAACTTCAACTATGCCAAAGATCTGTAGAATCTATTGTATATTATGGTAAAGGATTACATCGTTTTACTTATTATTGTCAATAAGAATTCTTGATATCATTGATATAATAAGACTACAAGGGTTTGATACAGATATTGGGATATAATAATTGTAGATAAAATCTGCTACACAATGCCTTCTAGTGCTCTATCAAAAAGCCTCTAATGCACGTCCCTGTAATACAGTATTGCAATTTCTTTCCATACAAATAATATATGCGTAGTCCAGAGCCTATTATTAGCATCTTTTCAGGTGCAATCGCAGGTACATCTAAAAGTCCATGGCAGTAGTTATGTACAGCCATAGACTATCTAGTAGCGCATGATAAAGCCTACGACGAATTCGATATTCTAATTATTCTTATTACGTCATGCCATCAGCAGTGTACGAGTACATGCTCAAGTCTAATGAGGATCAAACGAAATTACCTCATTAATAAACTACAGTATATCTAATCAATCAGTCAATACGTCAAGTTGTAGTAAGTCTCATAAATGTTACTTTCAGATTAATTTCAATAATTCTATTTTGGAATCTCTATCCAACACTTCACTTTGGAGATGGCGAAGGATATTAAGCTTCCGATCAATAGCTATGAGTGACTACTGTAATCAATGAGGGTGATGATAACATCTACATGTCAATCCTTCTGTAGCAAATCAAGTTCTTAAATTATCGCCGCTATTTTACTACCTGTACGAATACTAGTATATTCTACAGACTGATGTGAATACAGGATGATAGGACTATTAAATTATCGAAATCTGTCATCAAGAATGGTATATAATCATATTAAAATGATAGTAAACAAATATAAAATATCCTCTTCAAGTTCATTTATTCTATAGTAAATATAGTCAATACAAGGAAAGTGAGGTATAATGATGACGTCGACCAGTGCAGTACGGTACAGTAGCATAGATGATTGCTGAATAGCAAAGAATTCTTGAAGGGCTCAACGTTACAAAAGAATGATGAAAGACCTCCAGAGTAAATTTGGATAAGTTTGTATCCAATTAATCTCAATCTCTGGAAGAGAAAATCTTCTCTATGTTACTATTTCTATTTTAAAGTCGTCATTTCTTAAAAGTATCCGGATAGAGAAGTGAGCGGAAGCAGTTTAAGAGCACTGTTGTAACCGACAGGAAAAGTACACTACCGTACAGTTACTAAGTTTTGAGCCATGGAGAATACTATCGTCTAATCTACTTTCTATTTGAAATTGTACTTAGTGCAATGAAAACGAGATATCATCGTCAATTTTTCTTATGGATTTAAAATGGAGTTCTTATTACTGCCTTTACTAAGATATTCAGCTTCAATGAAGGCAAGAGTCATCATCAAATAATTATCAACAACAAGTATCTAGGCCTACAATAAGCACTAAGAAATACCATCCACTTGTCCAGCCTCTTATGGTGAAATTCAATTTGCCTCATTTTGATGATAAATTAACCATCAAGAACTAGTTGAATTATTCTATTTTTTCTTGCAATCATTTATGTATTCCTCTTACCGGGCGACTACTTTGGCTTCGCTTTTTCTTGGGCATAGCAATTGAATATTGAAAGTTTAAATGGTAGGAAATAAACTGTTGATTTTTTGAATCAAGGACATGAAGAATGATTTGATCAATCTTGAGACGAGGTGAGTGTGTATCCGAGTTTGACGCCTTGGTTTAGTCGATTTAGTCTACAGTATTACTATGATCGCAGAGGCTGTTTTCAGCGAACTTTGTACTATAGAACATTTTGTGACATCCATAGTATTGCATAGTGACCCATCACCCTGTAGCGACAAACTACAGTACGTCACCTGGACTCTCCTACAGTACTGTAGAGTACAGTGCATTGTACTGGCGTAACCCAGCCATTCAACAATGGACTCCAGTACAAAGTAGTGTAGCCTACAGTATTTTTCAAACGGCTTTTTACCTAACTGTCAAAAGTGGAGAATGACAATGCAATACAATACAATTGTGAAATTTGAATTCTCTTCGGCGGCGTTTAGTTGGCTGACGTCGCTGGTGGTGGAACACACCATTGCACAAGTGAAGTCAGTAAATACAGTCACAGTATGCGCTTCAATCTAGCTGTGAAACAGCGACCAAGCCAATGAATCGAGCGTTAAAAAGGCAAACTACCCACATACTGAATATTGTAAAGTGTTGTGATTAGTGTTAGAATGCGACTTATGATTACAGTAATTTTCTATTCTACCAAGCAAAATGATCTTCTCAATGATGAAATGTTGTAATCCTATTGGAGTTGATTTACAGTTCAACTTGTTTATAAACTATACTAGTGTCGTGTAGGCCAAGAATTTGGAAGAGCCGTGCAATTTTGCCTTTCATCGTTTTCAATTTTGCTTTTTCTTTGTTGGAGGAAAGGGGATATACTGTACTGTAGCTACCAGTATACTGTAAATTCAATCAGAATTACTGCTTTCAAATGGTGCGAAAAATTGGATCTTTTTTGGCTAATGAGTTTGCGCTTGATCCAAACTCAACGCTACACGTAGTAGTTTCAACAATTGCCATCATTCACTGTGTTACAAAAATTGCCCATGCCGGCATACGTGTAACACATGATCGTCCGTAGAGATAAAATAAAAAATATCAAGCATTAAAGTTTGCTTTTCACTTTTTCCCTACACAATACCTTACAAGTACAGCATTATAACTATTATTATTGTACAGCGGTATACTGATCAGGATATCTACTGTATTCAGAGGCTCATTTTCTGAATGATTGTGATAGAGATGCGAAATTTAGATTGGCCATGCAGTAGCCATTATACGTATATCGATTATAATTAGCAAAGAATTTGCTATCTAATAACGAATAAACTATCGCTTTATACGTTTATGTGACACATGAGAGATTAAAATCACATATTATTTCTCATACAGTACTGTAAACTTGGTCTATCGACATACAATAAAATAATGAACAACATCAATTGCTATTCAGAATAGTTAATGAATCGACTTTATATTATTTGCTATCTATTAACGAATAAACTATCGCTTTATACGTTTATGTGACACATGAGAGATTAAAATCACATATTATTTCTCATACAGTACTGTAAACTTGGTCTATCGACATACAATAAAATAGTGAACAACATCAATTGCTATTTAGAATAGTTAATGAATCGGCTTTATATAACATCTTTTTTTTACAACATCAATTGCTATTTAGAATAGTTAATGAATCGGCTTTATACTATTATATCAATATGATTAAGATTAATATATAATTAACTGTGAATTTAATCTACAGTCTGTAAATAGAACTATAATAATCATGAATCCTTATACGGAATACAGTAGGTTTATTATCGCACAATTCAGTTTAGTCACTATAAATACAACTTGATAAGCCTTTAAATTGCGTACAGTATATACTCTACAAGCAGTAGTGAGAGATTATCCTTCGATGCCTGTTACAAATAATAATAAAAAACGATTTTCATAATGCTCACATTCATTACTCTACCGTAGCAATATCATCTTGAAAAGACGTATAACCTAAATCCTTGATAATGCTACGATAACGTAACAAAATTTCAATCTAGATAATCAACAACTAACGAACCATTTATATCTGAGGCATTTTTATGACAGGATATAAGATTTTCTTAAATGAAATCAGATTAACTTTTAATTATGAATGCTTTTAGCGCGTTGCTGTGTCCGGTATACTGTACATCTAGGTTTGATATACGCGTAATGAATGTTTTCGATGCAGCAAGCTGCCGATGGTAAAGTGCTTATCTATCTATCTGATCATTGTCTTCGATATCTACTACTGGGTCGTTCTTTTAGATATTTAAAGGATTTCCACCAACGCATATACTCGTATATTTTACTCAATGGTGATCATTACAGTTTTGTCGATTAATGAAATGCACTTGTTTATTTCCTATAAGAATTCCTTTAGCTTAGAATTTGTTGCTATAAACAAAATTTGATTTATTTACTAAGTTGTCATAATGTTAGTAAATAAAAAATTAACATGAATCATTCATTATACAGTATTAATAAATATCGAACGTAATTGAATCATTTTAAGGTAGTGCACATGGGCAACAAATGCAAGTTCCAAAGCAGCTGACTACCTAACACTAATGTTTCGAAAGCTTACACAGTACTGTATAGTGTACAGTATGGAATTCTACATATTAAACGACTGAATTCGATATCAAGTACAGTGTAAAACCAAACGTCTGCTAATTTGTTTCTATATGAAAGGAATCAATAAAATTTTAGGACTGCAATATTCACAGAAAGCATATCATTTTCCCAGTAATTCTAATTATTGTACTATACAATGCAGTCATATTAATACTGCAATAAAGTCTATATTATTAACGAGCAAGTTCGCATTGAACAATTTGGCATTCCGATGAAATTACACAGCACGTAAGCATATGCCCTTTAAGTTAGGCATTGCAGTGTACTGTGGACCCGCGTTAGTAATTCACTATGGACTTTAAAGGCAAACCATATAACCTTTGATTGAATGCATATATATAAAAAAAGCGTAAAATTGTTAACGTCTACAGTAGTAATCAAATTTGGAAAGAGTAATGACAATTTGAAATGTAAAAAATGGTTTCATTACTTTTAGTGCAAGCTGTGGATATCATCTTTCTCACAGTGTTAAACTTGTAATATAGACCCTGTTATTTCATGGACATTTCGATGTACACTCGCACCGTTTCATTCTTAAATGTTTGCTACTTTTAGAGAGTCAGGTAAACACAGAAATTACAAATTTATATCAAATTCTTGAATTTCAGCAACTTTGCTCAATGCTATTTTGCCAGTGTGGCAATATAGCTTATACCGATCCACAGTCTACAGTACATACAGTACAGTAACATACGGTGCACTATACTTACTACTGTATACTGTACTGTAAAAATACGGTACTTGAGATACCCAATGGGATTCTGTCACTACAGCATCAGGATTACGTTACTGCACACTGAGTGTAGACAGAGTAACTGCAGCTGTGGAAAGGATTTGAACAAAATTGACACTGTTATTAATAGAGTCTACCAGCTTATCGTACAGCTAAAACCACATCCAAGTTCAAATCGAATTTATTATTTACTGTAGTGTATAGCTACAATTGATAGAGAACTCTGAATTCTAAGCTTATGCCATAGAATCGTTATGACTTCTGATACAGAATTATGCAAAGACCGAGATAACTTTCCTCCATTAAAGAATGACCTCATCTTAAGAGCTGCTCGTGGCGAGTATACAGAAATGATCCCGGTATGGGCAATGAGGCAGGCTGGCCGCTATTTACCAGGTATACACTACATAATAATGAATTTACTGCAATAAAATTGCAAAATTACCATCTTGAAATTGACTTTGTGCAGTTGACCAGAGTATAAAATGTCCGGCAAGCTTAAAATATTATACTGTTGACTAGTGAGTGATGTTAAACTTTGTAAAATTAGAATGAAACGCCGCTGGAACGATTGATGAAATTCAATGAAATCAATTTATTAGTGCGATAATGTCTCTAGTGTAGGCTTTAAAGCAGGATCTGTTTTTCTTCTGATATCATGTACTGTAGTCTTCCAGAGCACTTTTAGCCATAAGGTAAAACGGTTTCGTGTGTTGGGGCACAAACTAACTTCCAAATGTAGATTCTTCATGGGAGCATCACTACTGTACATTCCGGATTTACATGATGTATCATTTTTAAAGGATAATAATCGTATTTTGTCTCATTTTAGAATTTAGGGAGGTTAGGAGCAAGCATGAATTCTTCACCTTATGTAGAACTCCATCCTTGGCTTGCGAAGTTACACTGCAGGTAGACCCTATTGCTAATTTCATTAGCTTGCTTACACTTTGGCCATGAGCTACTTATAACAGCATCCCTGGATAATTACGTATAATCGCACCTATAGTTAATAAAGAATCGAAAGTAGCCCAGTTATATCGTGCTACACATTCTCTTGAACTCTCTTGCCTATTTACCCTTGAAATGTTAAGTTTGCAGAGAAGAGCTTTTATTAATCATTATGCCATAATGTTCAGATTAGATATTCAAGATCGTTGTAAACTTGTCTACATGTACTGTAAACTGATCTGACTGTTATCAGGTTGTACTCCCTTCCTACGGTTCAGCTGGAATGCGAAAGAAGCCAAACACATTTGTGAACTAAACTTACCCAAGGCAAAAAGCACGATATTATGGATAAGTCACCAATGACGGTGAACTACAGGCTGCGGCATAAATATTATTTACCAATTACGACGGGCTTTGAATCAAACAAACTTCCTATTTGGTTATTTGTATTTATAGGCCTCAATTGATCTACGTAAATCTCTCAGTGTCAAGTTATTACAACTGTAGCCATAGATTGTAAATTGCATATTTTTCTTCAATTATGCAATTAGCTACCATCATTGAAGTACCGCTGTTTATTAAATCCTATACGTGAATATCAGCCGATTAATACTCTACTTTAGCAGACGTGAGATCATCAAAATATTTTGTATGCTAATTGATGCTGTAGTATACGCTTACATTATGAAGTTGACCGACACATCACGGGCCAAAGTTTACCTAGTAGCTCCTTACATAAAGTATTTTAATTTTCGATGACAGTAGTATCTCATCACATAATAATTATGCACTTGTGTATCGCTAAAGATACTCATTGTATGAGATATGCTTTCATTTACATAAACATAGACCTAGATATCAAAGATGATCTAATTACTGAGATATAAAAATTTTATTAGCCAATTAGACGATTTAATTTGGATGCTTCTATTATCTTTTCGGACATTCTGGTTATACCTCAGGTAATTAATACCTTTAATTTCGTGAAATATTATATCACGGTTTAGCTAAAACAAATGATACACCATGTTACATATGATGTATACTACTATAATGAGACCTTAATTAATTAACTTTTTTTCCTTCATTCAATAATACAGGCTCTGGGAATGGATGTGGAAATGATTCCAGGCAAGGTGACAAACTAAAAAATAAATTTAAAACTTCAATTATAACAACCTGTGTTTACAGTAATTATATAACAAGATTTTCGTTATAATTCTGAGTGCTGTTACATTTTACAGGGTCCTACTTTTATCAGGCCATTAGAGCATCCCAAAGATCTGAAGGTATCCAAGACAACTGTACTATGGATTAATAACTACTGATTTAATACTGAATTAACTGTAACCGTTGTAATATGTTCTACGCAGGAATTGGAGCACGATGTTGATGTAGATGATAAGCTTGGCTACGTATATGATGCTATCACGCTAACAAGACATAAACTCGAAGGTCGAGTACCTCTGATTGGATTTGCTGGAGGACCAGTAAGAAATCTTGTATACTCTACTTGCAATATTTCTATACTCCTACACGAGTGTGTTAAAACAATACCTTATTTATAGTGGACTTTAATGGCATACATGATCGAAGGAGGCGGAAGCCAAACCATGTCGAAGGCAAAACAGTGGCTTTATCGATATGAAGATGAAAGTCATCAACTCCTTCGATTGCTTGTCGACATCACCGTCAAATTTTTAGTTGGTCAGGTTAAAGCTGGAGCGCAGGTGAAAAATTTAACAAAACTAACATCCGAAGAACTTGTTAGGGAATACTGCATAAATAACGCTATCGTTTACCTATCTTTATACTGATTTAAAGTTTCTCTTTATTAAAGCTTCTTCAAGTATTCGAATCCCATGCGGGATACCTTGGGAGAGATTTATTTAATAAATATTCTTTGCAGTATTTGCGCGATATCTGTAAAAACGTTAAGAGGGAACTCGTTGATGCTAAAATAGATCCTGTGCCCATGGTATTTCAATTTTACAAACGCCTGATTGGGTTTGTAGCAATGAAAAGTTAAAATATCTGTTTATCAATCTTACAGATTGTATTTGCGCGAGGAGCCCATTATGCCTTACAAGAATTAGCTAGTACTGATTATGATGTGATTAGTGTCGATTGGACTATTGATCCAAAGGAAGCAAGGTAATTGCACAGTCTATCCGTTCCATAGTACATATGTTACTTCATAATGCAGCTAGAGAGGTGCTATATTCTAGTGTCGTCCAACCAGCTACTCGCTATAGTAAATTTTTCGTCTATGATGGGAGAGACTGTTAGGGCATAAAATTTCATTTAAAAATCTTTCTACATAATATAATATTGTTATAAGGTAAAAGTGAATTATTGTACTGTATATTTATCCGCACAGATATCGAGGTGATGTTTATAGCCAATTAATTATCGGTTAATTTAAATTCAGCATAGTCAATAAGATGCTATCAATCTACAGAGCTAATTGCTATTTCATTTCCAGAAATAAAATTGGCGGACAATCGACAATTCAGGGCAACCTTGATCCTTGTGCATTGTATGCTAATAAGGCAAGTAACTTTTAGTGACGTATCTCTGGTAACTCAATGGCACAATTGGTATCTAATTCTTCGAATTATCCTTTTAGGTTGAACTAGAAAAGCTCATAGGGAAAATGATAGCAGAGTTTGGTACACAACGCTATATTGCCAATTTGGGGCACGGCATATATCCAAACGTTGAGCCATCACAGCTGGACTGTTTTGTAGAATGTGTGCATGCATACTCTAAAAATCTTAATGCTACCTGAGTTATCGTTTTAATGAACAAAGTTTTTATTTTTTTAATCGTATCCTCCGATACCGGTAGTAATTAAAATTAGATGATTTAAAGACAGTTATACACGTTCCACTAAGCGTAACTTAATGATAAACAGACCTATACTCATATTATAGAACTTGCGATATGTAACTGAAATTAAGTTCTTATGTCAATGAAAGACGTTGTACGATGTATATTCGTTCTGCTTAATGTCAGCTATCTATGCACAATACGAAATAAGAATAACCCATGTTATAATAAAAACTATTATACTGTACAGTAATTATTGGCATAAATGTAATTTTAGAAATTACTTTGTCTAGTGCATCCATTTTACGTAACGCCACACCATAACTATAAATTACTGTACTGTATTATTGAATATTCGAGGATCTGATCGCAGAGTTCAAGCTTAATAACTACTGGCTTTACTATAGACTGAGTACGGTTAATATGCAGTGTTGTAGACGTAAACGATGTCCAACAGCTTATACCGAACTAGATACTGGAGTACAGTATATTACATCGTGACCGTTAGTATGTACTACTAGTACTGTATATTGTCATGGTAAAGTCTAATTTCGGAAACTTATCTAAGGTGATTAATATAACATCACCAAGTTCACTCGGGACTACGGACACTCTTTACATCTAAGAATAGTCCTTGGTGCTATACTATACATGCAATGCACTTGTTTAGGATCTCAATTACACTTTTAGTCAAAATAAAATACACAATGTGTTAAATAATTCGAAACCAGTCTGAAGTTGAGAATATTTACTTCGTAGATCATAAAGTACTAGAATACGATATACGAGGATTAACGTTCAATGTTGAAGATTCGAATACAACTTCTAAAGTTTATACAGTATTCCGTAGCAAGTCGATAAGATATCGCAATACAATACTAATGTAATCGCCATTACAGTCAATCTTCAATGCTACGTGGCAATCATCTACAGTACTTCGAGCACTGGAGCAAAGAGAGCACATCTCACAAATAAACAATGTACAAGGTTTCGGATAAATTTTCTTTATAAATTTATGGCTTTTAAAAAAGCCGTTGGTAGACTCAAATGCTAAACATTCGAATTATAGAGTAGTGGATTTAGTAGTCCATGAATTTACTTGCTGCTGGTGTATTTGGTGACAGCTTTGGTACCTTCGCTGACGGCGTGCTTAGCCAATTCACCGGGCAAGAGAAGACGAACAGCGGTCTGAATTTCCCTGCTGGTAACGGTAGAACGCTTGTTGTATTGAGCCAAGCGGGAAGCTTCATTGGCGATACGTTCGAAGATATCTTGAACGAAAGAGTTCATGATGCTCATGGCCTTGCTGGAGATTCCAGTGTCGGGGTGAACTTGTTTCAAAACTTTGTAGATGTAGATGGAATAGCTTTCCTTTCTTTTCTTTGCACGCTTCTTCTTTTCAGAAGCTGCGGCGGTGGCCTTGGCTTTTCCGGCCTTCTTTTCTCCCTTCTTGCTAGCTTTGGCAGGCATGTTTCAAATGAATTACTTGGTGTGTTTATACTTCAATAGTCAAACAGACGAAGATGTGATTGGAAACTGCTCGCTGCAGCTATTTATTACATCCTGGGTGGATCGAGGCTAACCAATCACAGTCCAGATCATTGAAATAGTGGGATCCAGTTAATGCTTGCGATCAGGTCCGCAATTAGGAATGGCGGGCAAGTTAAATTATTTGATTGGTTAAGCTTTGATCCGGACTTGAGTACAAGATATAGTACTTTGTATCGTATTCACAGTATAAAGTATTGTAATATTGTCATTCTTGCACTCTATCGTCTACCGTGCAGCATCATGGGCCATCGCCGCAGAGTCAGTACGGCTACAGTCATGATTTATGTTACGGAACTATGCCTTGGTACCTGTTTCCGAGTAGTGTGGTTTCGAGCAGTCGATATTCAAACAAGAATTTGATAGTAGGAGGATCTTGCACTCCATGATTCCCTTACAACAAGCTACAGCCTGAGAGTAGATTTTGTTTCTGCTAACAATCCTTCGGAATGGTAAATCACTAGCCAGAATAAACCCTAACAATAAATCACGGTCTACGAGTCCAATAGTATTGAACTACTGTATTTTGAAGGTTTCAATGCGCCACAATACTAATTCATTCGCCAAGCTCCTTCCTTTTGCAGCAACCTTGACTAATATACTATTACGGTATACAAATTTCTTGACATCAGATCTGCTATGGGGTGCTCGCCTTGAGACGATAAATAAGGCATAACTACAGTACTGTATTTTTGAAAGTGATACTTTTCCACGGTACTCTTTAATCATAATATGATGTGAGTATTGTTCAATAAAAGATTGCATTTAGCAATCGGGCCTCAATTCTTGCATTAATAATATTATTACTTTACTGTATGGTTAATAGTGTTGAGCTACGATTCATCAATGAAAGCTCCCCCAGTTACAAGTAGAATCTAGCGTCTATCTGACTATTGGATTCGCAACACTGTAATTCTTTCTTTACAAATTCTCTATACAGTACTTTATCATCAACCTATTCAGTCAAGTTATCATTCAATTGACAACATAATTTCAATATGACTCAATTTATTACATCATTTCTTCATTTATGAAATGCATGGAGAATAGAATAACTAAGTTAGTACAAGTGCTAAAATACTACATATTCATATCATCAGATATGAACAGTTTATCTTCTATAAAATAAGGACATCGAAACTTTTCAAAGCTAATGCAACAATAGTACCACTCAGGAGAGTAATAAAGTTCCATGTAGGCTTCGACAATTTTAATATTTAAACTAGGAGAAATTTATCCCATATATAATAAAAAACATAGGAGACACTGTACTGCATACCAGCAGTATAACATGATTGTACATCATATTTTAACTTAAGAATACGATATGATGTCAGATTGATAACGTCACTTCAATGACAGCAACATAAATAAACTTCTATACCAGTTGGCTTGTAAACTTATTAAAATTATTGGCAAAATTGAGTACTGTAAAACAAGTTTTATCAGCATAGATTAATTACTTAAAGAGCAAAATAATAACGTAGACGAAAATTTTCAAAACATTCTGGTATTAACGATAGACAAGTGTTCATAATTAATAATACTGATAATATTATCTCCATTAAATCGGTTTAACTCAATTGAATTAACCAATATCTAATGTAGAAATAGCACTAAAAATGATTAACAATCATTGATCTAAAATTACACATACAGAATCATATAAACACAGAGTGATAATATCAAATTACTTTACTATACCGTCACAAGACGAGAACAAAAAATGCCATCCACTAAGTAATTATTTTCCATACTATCAGTTATCATGGCTGTAGAGATAGAATACGGCGTTCTTACTATCCTGATAGTATATGAATTATTTAATTAAGAGATAGCACAGGGTAGATCGCTAGATATCTGGAAAAGTGTCGATCATTCTACTTTTCAAATCGTAGCTTTCATACTTATCAATTAATCCGCTGTTGAATAATCAAATTACCATCATATATTTATGAATAAAATATGACTTTGTATGGACCTTTTCTAATTAAGTTTTTGTATCATACGCTACAAATATTTTAGCAGCATCTTTTAGCCAAAGGATTTTTATACTTGTTAAAGCGACGACGGCGTTGATCTCGTTCTTTTAGTATCTTTCTTAATTCTGTCATTTTTGTTCGAGTTATTTCGTTTTGATGTTTCGATTTGTCGATATTGTTATTGCATATTGGTATTCCATGATTGTTAACTGTCTCATTAGCTGTAGAATTGCAAGAATTGTTCTTATCGAACAACGTATGACCTTGCTGTTTCATTGTTGCTGCAATCAAATCGTTGAGAATATGGCGAACGGTTGTAGCATCACGCCTCAGGCATCCTCTGTTATCAAAACAGCACGATTTAAATCTACCGGAAAATTTACCAGCATAAATTCCATTATCTTTCTTTTTGATATATATGTTCGTATTACTGGATGAGGGCATCACATCATCCTTAACTTTGCTAAGCTCATGAACTATTTTCTCATTGCATTCTGTAGACAAAAAATAAGTGTTAAAATTCATTTAGTAAATCTGTGATCAATAAACGCTGCTGAAAAATTACGCACTAGCAAGCCTAATGACGGTCCATGTACTGCAAATTACATGATGACCATATACTATAAATGTAGGTTACTTTACAATACTACCCCAATATTAAAACGACCTACTAACACTTAATGAGTAAATATGCACTGTAATATGGATTTCAGCACGATAAAATATCAATTTTTCTTTAGTAATTCATATTTTATCGTCATCTAAACTTATGCAAAACATAAAATATCGTTTAGACTATAACAAAATTAATCAGTAAAGTAGTAATGCAATATATTTTTGCAATAATGCTTAATCATGCCACTAAATTGAGAATAGAGATTAAACAATAATGCCTTATGTGACGGCCATTATCGCACGATATACAGCACCATATTTTAGTAAAAATAATTACTTCCAATATAATACAATAAACTTACAGGGTTTATATTTTGATATAGAAAGCAAAAGTATGACTAATATAACTTATTGCCAAGTAACGCCAGTTTACACATCAATGCGTAGGCAATCAAATTTACCTGCTGTCATATGCCTCGAACAAACGCGTGGGATGGAAGATAACTGTATTTGTACCAAAACTAAGCGACCTTCCAGTTGGACTGGCAATGTCAATAATTTCCTACCGCACAAAAAGGCTTCGACCTATAACCACATGTTCAAAATTCACGTCGTTAATAACATTAGGAATTTATTGTATGTGAATTACCAATAATATAACTGAAAGCCTTAGTCATTAAAAATTTGATTCTTATTGTCTACAATTTGATATTTTGTTATCTTTGTAAAATACCCAATATAATGCCTGAAACGCCTTCTAATATACAGATTACAGTCTAGACGATCGTTTATAAAGACTGTCACTAAGTGTTAAGATTAGCCTAAGATAACCATTTTTTATTACATTTAAGTGAATACTTTTTTAAATATGGTAAGTAAACGTTATAATCTGGGACTCTTATAATGATAACGTACACGGTAATCCTCACCCCATAATGCTATAACGAAAATAAAATGATCTATAACGTATAAAAGAAATCATAGGAGGAAGAACTTATTACTTTATACCATATACATAAATATAGACAATGCTCAATCAAACATATTTAGGTATCACTTCCTATTAAATTAACTATGAATCCATCATTTCAATTTATCCAGGTGCATAACGATCTACAATGGATTCAACTATGCAATTACATGGATGAGTAAGTACATATAAAAGCCCTTTATATTATATTATAGTCATGTCGTAATTAAGTCAAATTAATTATTTTACCTGCTTTATGATAATAGATAATTAGAGTCACGTACATTATTTATATGATTTCAACAGTATCGAAATGATACTTCTTGATCAATATGTATAACGCAATGATAATACATGAATGAGTGAACCTATCCTACTGTATATTAGATTTTACGTAAAACAAGGTTAGTTGACTACCTGTAGCAACTACTACAAATGAAATTTGTCTTAATGACATTAAACTTTATTGAAGGCTAATAAACTGCAATTTTTTTAGTTTAAAAATGAGTCACTTTGTCGTGTATAAACAACGCACGTCAAGGAAGTAGTAACATATTAAAGCTAGGAGTATGACCAAGAATTAAATCAATTATGATACGAACGCTAGCAAAAATTACCATAATGTAAATTATTATCCCTTTATCGCACTTAATTGGCAGCAAAAGATGATAAAACGGGGGGGGGGAATAGTAAAGCAAACTCAAGTCTTAGAATCACTTTTTTAAATATTGATTGAATAAAAAAAGGAGTTAGAAATTGTAACGGTTCAATACAATATTTGATTCTCATGATACACGTGCAAAATAGGAAGATCCATTGAAAATTATTATTGATACTGCGACTTCCTCATCTTGACGATGATGATGCTGATGAGTAAACAAATATTACAGATTGGTTACAATGAATACCATTCGAATAAGCAAAGACAACTCTCAGACGCATTTGTCTACATCGATTGCTATGTAAATTCTATTACGGATGTGTTGGTATGACGAGAAGTAATTTGCAACTATATTGCATCATTGTACAGTAATAAAATAAGTTATTTTATCCTTTATGAAAATGTATAATTTCTTTTACAATCAGGATAATGCTTTCATATTGATCGAGTATTTATCATTACGTTCTGCAACGATAACTATTTAAAGAGTAGCGATCAAATGACGCATAAAATAATATCTATGGAATGGTCTTGTATAACAACAATGAAATTAGATATAATGGCTCGTAATTCTAATAGTTCTGAAACTTATGTCATAATGAAAGGGGTATCATCTTTTTCCTCTATTATTTGAATACATTCTAAATTGACTAATTTCTGATAAAAGCATCAATATTCTCATGACAGAGAAAGAAATCATTAATAACCAGCTTCGTTCATCTGGTATGACTCATGCATGATTATGAAGTTGACAGAAACTGCTTGAAAATGTAAATGAATAAAGATAACGTTCATGATATACTATTCATGTTACTTTGTTTTCTATATACAGACACTTCTACATACTGCATGTAATTCATTAAAAATGTACAGTATACTGTAGAAACTATGATTAGTTTGAGATTTGTTGAGAAAACTTATACAGTATGTGCATTACACACTGTACTAAATCTAGGATTTATATATTTGATGATTCTATTAAATTACCATAAGTAAAAGATAATTATTAACCGATACCTTAGTGCACTCAATCAACTGTCGTCCGAAGTTATATGTACTGATAATACAATGTAACATTCGCATTAAGGTTATCCTACATGCTGCAATATAAATGACGTACAGTGCCTATAAACTAAATCGTCATATTAATAGTACTATCTGTAAAGTGAAAATTTATCAGACAATAGTAGAATGGAAAATGGACAACGTCCGATTAAATTTGTTTAGGGCGAGTGCAGAGAAAGTAAAGAAAGAGCGTGCGTGATATTACTCCGACAGTGGAAACCCTTTACTGTTCAATTCAATCATGATAAATTATCAGTATGGACTATCACGGCAACTACAATGATAGTCTATCCAAATTGAGGGTATTAATACTGTAACACTAGCAATGATAGGAAGTGACGAAATCACCATCTCCTACTATGTCTTGTGGGGCTATTGTAAATGAAAGAACAGTGTAAATAATTTCTAAAATAAAATAAAAAATGACTTTTGTACTTGTACCTTAGTTTAGTACCTGCTACAGTAAATTGTCAAAGACGCGTTATGTACCTATCATGACCATTAACAAGTTATAATTCTGTGTTATCCCTCATTTGATTTACAATCGAATGCATTAAATTAAATCTAGCCTACATACTGTAATATACGTTGGCATTTGTGTGGTATTTTGATAAAAAATTAAATATCTACCATGTCATAGTTTTACCCTTTTAAAATGATAGCTCTTAAGATATCAACAAGATAATTTAGTAACAGTATCAAACCGCCAATATATGGAAAAGTAAAATTTTATGCAATAGATATAATAGGACAATAAGAAAAATATTGAACCAAATCAATTAATAAGAGTCAAGAAGTTGATTCAATCTTGAAAATCTAAACAATACCACAAGTAATACATATGCATCAAAATTTTATCGACTATCATCATTGTTCCACTATGTGAAAATTTTCACTAAGCGAAGGACGCAATAACAGGCGAAAGAAAAGGATAGGAACTGAAAGTTGAAAGGCAAAATTTAAAAGTAACAATATCATAAACTACGTATAATAAATTGCTGAAAATCTAGACTATTATCGCATGGAATTTGATGCTATGAAAGGGTTGGCTATAAGTGAAAAGAATAATACAGTGGCAAATGAAAGGGTACCTATCATTTGCCAATTATTTGATTATGCAATCAATTACTTCCTCCCTACGACCTAATAAAGTTGTCATCATGCATTAAGAAAAGCCACTGAGACAAAGATTTGCGTGAAAAATTAAAATTACCAGTAATCATTAATTAATTAATACTGCCATTGACTATTTCAATCTTGCGTAGCATGTCTCTGCAGTCACCTTCATCTTAAAATTAAACCAGACACTAACGGCTGATGTATAGATTCAAATAATAATTTTTTCCTACTCAATACAATCGCTGATGAATGTTATTGAAACCTCAAGAGAAAAATATTGTAATAATCTTTACATAGACTTTTATGTATATGCACAAGTTGCGATTTACCGTATAACATCAAAAATAACAATGTCATGACCCATACTGTGCTAGTATAACTGATATCGTAAAAATGGCAGACGCTATATTGAAAGTACATGTAATTTCGAGATCTAGCTAGGTTTGGGTACGATAATAAGCGTTACAAATTCTATTGACAACTACAGCTCTAGGTACTGTACTGTGATCATGTTGTAAGCCAATAATGTTTTATTCATCATGTTGATGAATTAGTAACTAAAATACATACGATATGTAGGAAAATGATATTAGGATAAGGCAGTCAATTTTAAACTATAATATGTCTTATATGAACAAAGCTATAGCTATTGCACGTATACAAAATGGTATACGGAATGAATAAGTCATGAATCAATATAGCTACATTATGTATGTATTAATTATCATGTTTCTAAGAAAAAGAAAATTACCGTTTAAGGTAAATATTTTATACTTTATAAAACTAAAACTAAAATATTGTAATTTGTTGGTAAATATGGACTAACTTTGAATAGGTGAGGGTAAGAATGAATGAATGGCTTTAGTTCTGACGTATGAATAAGATAGTTAAATTTTAATTACTTTGGGAATAACATAAAAAATGATAACATAAAATAGTAACGGTAATATCATATTAATGTACTTAGTTTTTGTGCAACATCAGACCTGTAAAAATATTGTTACCAATATTGTTAATGCATGAAACCGATACTAGCTAGGTGCAACTTGGCGAGAAAAGTTATAGAGTGCAGAGTAAAAAATAACAGTAGTATGGGGGTGGTAACTTATAAAGTTCATGTAAAGGTGAACTAAGCTGCCTACATCTAATTTAAAAACCATCTATTGATATAGTTGATGGGTGGAGGAGGAGGAGGAGGTGGAGATGAAAGATACAGAAAAAAGTGATCACCATAGATTTTGTTAGTCAACACCGCCCATTATTTTTTCCCGAGGTGTTTATTTTTAACAAGAACTATTCTAATCCATCATAAACTTAGCCGCCAGTTGACAGGCGCTATAATTTAATCTGTACTTTTTGGTCAGCTAGAGTTTACGAGAATTTCATGCGACAACATTATATCGCGATATTTATTTTATGACTATCTAAAAAAACACTTAATCTACTTTGATAATAATTATTATATCTATCATCCTTGAAATATCTACACTAAAAATGAAAATGGTCAATCGATCAATATCTTATTTCAGTCATGCAGACAGATAGGCAATGAAGCTTGATTATAACTTGCAAAATAATAGCAAATTGCATTCTACAGTAGCGTGCACTAGAAGGAAATACATGCAAAAGAGACATAATAACATTCTATGACTTCATAATTTTGCGTAATTACTCACGAGAACTAACTAAAAATAGATAAAGATTACAATATTTGACTCTAAGAAAGAAACATTGTTTCAACCTGGATATAACAGTAAAGAGGAAATGGACAATCTTGCTATAATATTATATCAATGAGCAATTAACTAATATATCTTTCTAACGTAATACCCTATTCTTGACTTGAAGTAAATATTGCCAATATTGTCAATTATAGAAAAATTATTAGTATTATTGCAAATGATGACAATTTGCAGTATGGAAAAAACTCCATTTGTTATCTTACAAATTTGATATCGTATAAGTAGATTCAATATCAAAAAGGTATTACTATAAAAACTAGCGTAGCAATTAAAAATGTTGAAGTAGGGAAATGATTGCAACAATACAGGATGAAGGAAGGGTAAATTATTGATTTGATATACCAAAGAATAAAATTCTCCCCCCCCCCGTATTTCAACAACAGACAATAATAAAGCAGATATTTTTATACATTGACAACTAGGTAGGTTTCGTGGTGGTCGAGATAGATGCGTTCTGTTCTCGAATATGGAGGTATCAAAAATGTGTGAAAGAGCAAAGAATAAATACATAGAAAACAAAGAGCATGACTAAAATAGAATAACTTTAAAACGAGCCGGAGGAAAGAAGGAAACCCGACTAACAATGACATGAAAACAAAAAACAAGATGTAAGATTGCATAAAAATCTCAAAATAGATTGCAAATTTGACTCTCATTTCACAGTACAACCCTGTCATTAAATAAAATGATCAAAGATGCGGCTATGATAAGGTTACATTAATACTATGGTTTATGAATGAAATCTCGAACAACAACACTGTATTTCAATGTTGTCCAGCAAATAAAAGATGATAGGATAATATTAGATTATACGATTACTTACTTGTGCATCTGATAAGCAATCCAGGCTTCTTACTGGTGTTGTACTACAAGGGCTGTGCCAATTCTAATCGTTTAATAAAAAAATGATCATATTAATACCATACAACTAGGTAATACGCAATTTGAATGATGACTATTAAAATTCTGCTAGTGTGAAGGTACCAAAAAGAATGAAAGCAATAGAACGCATTTATGAACTACAGCAGAAAAGGTGCAGAACGTTTTAAGCTATCATTTTGCATGACGAGTATATGATCATATCTGGTAAAGCAAGCATGCTAGCATATTGGTCATTTTATTCTAGTTGACAACAAATTAGTGAGAGATGGGAGATTGCACTGTACCCTGGGTAGATTAATTTTATAATTAGAATGTTTTTCAATTAAGTTGAAAAAATTTAACCAAGCAGCAATATCATACTATTTTACAAAAAAAAAAGCAACAATGAAATTATAAGCATTTTCAAGAGAGCAAATTGTAATTATTGTAATTAATCTAGGAGGTTATCTCAATGTATCGGTACGTTGATTCGATCAAATTCTACGGTGTTATACTGTAGAAAGATACATTCCAATTGATGAAATAATTATAACTTACTACGGGATACAGCTTTGGTCGATCATGTTCGAATAAATGTAAAGTACAACTAGATGGTATATGAAATACTCGTATACCCAATTGAATCTACAAGACTGTACCAACATTTTACGTTCATAAAAACTACTAGCAATAATCTCTTCAACAATCAACTGTACTCCAGCAGTAGTTGCTATCAATACTACTTTGCTTCACGTAATTGTTAAGTTAGGGCACATATTCAATTTAATTTAAATGTAGAAATTATATGGAGTTGACTAAATTTAAAATGAATTCAACTCGTATTATGGCATATTATTCAAAAATGACTGAATGAAGAATTGATAGGGAAAGAGTGAATTTCGTATACAAATCCCATCCACGTCTAGACTGACGCTCTATTTCATGGTTAACACCTTAGTTCACTATTACTATTTACATGACAAAAATATTTGATCCACTACATCGTATATTATAGTTTCCAGGTAGCCACCGATGGCGTAGATACTTTGTTTAAATCAATTTTGTATGATTGTGTGCTAACGTACGTAAGGCAATATTTATCGGTACAAGTGCAAGAAGTCCAAAACGAATTCTTCAAATAAAAGAAACCCTCAGACTTACCTTGAAACCAGTTTCTATAGTTGTTAATAACTTTATTGATGATCCAGAACCGACACCATTTGCTAACAGTAATCCTTTTGTCAGATTTCTAATTATTGTTAAGATATCGATAGATGGGATAGATAGTTAGCTCTATGTTACAAAGTGTTAAAATGTTGATCATCCATTGAAAAAAACTTTTAAACAAGCAGTAAAGTAATAAAATGATAAAAACTGAATCTATAACATTCAATTTTCTTTTACTTTACTAGAATATTGATGATAATATAGGTTGCTGTGATATCGGGCTTACCTTTCCTTGTAGACGAGGGAGATTTTATCGATAGGCAAGCCAATGCGTGAAGCAATTCTTCCTTTTAAATCATCTACAGTTTCACGACAACTGACGTGGAATGGTAGTCGTGCTCCAGAAGTGGATAAAATAACCAGACGTATCTTTTGATTACATTTATTTTTCTTATATCTGGGTAAAGCATCTGTCGATGTAGATGAAATATCGGCTGCAGGAGTAGCAGCGCTACAACTGCTGGTTTCACTGCTTGTTGGATCAATCATGTTGGTTGTAATAGTCAGGTTTAAATTTGGTTTAACAGGCTGAATTGAAGCTATCGACGTGAGGACTGGATCAATCTCTCTTGCTTTCTTTTTTGACCAACGGTAGTCGTAGTAGTAGCAGCAGCAACAACAACAACAACACTAATTATCCAGTCTGAAATGGATATTGAATTTCATACGATGTCAAAATTATTATATTATTATCAATTAAAGTGAAGGTAATTATAGCTGTTAGCAAGTCCGATCAAGTTTACAAGGTGTATGTATAAGGTAAAACTTTGCCTAACTAGTTAATATAAGCATGTCTTGAATTTAACGTATTGTAATTATACTGTATAATTAACTTAAGTTAAAAAGAAAAAAATAATAATAAATACAATTGATCAAAATTGAATTCGGCATTTTTGAAAATGAAAACTTGCACAGTATATTGTAGAAAACGATAGACCATGATAACGATAGTAACGATTACTATTATCTTATTAGCGTACTATCGACAGTATTTCAGAGCAAAAAATTCATTTTTTTTTTTGCATGTTTTAATAACAAGATGATCGGCGGCTGTAGCCTGATTATCAATTTCGTTAGCCAATATTACCTTGTATACTACTATCAATGATACCTAGATAAGATTATCGTACAAACTCGATATACAATACACGTTATCAGCAATCGATAAACAGCACATACGATAAAGGATGTCAATTTGTATCTACCTATGAGTCATCACCACACCGATTTGTAACTTTTAATGCGATATCGTGTTCTAGTAGATTACGAGATTATTTATAGTATTTAAAATTCTAGACAATAATAGCATTATTTTTCATTTATTTTTTTTTTATTTTTTGGGGGGTAAAGGGCTATCCATTTGACTGGAGTAAAGTATTGTACACATACTGTATATTAACATCATAGTAAGATATTTGTCTAAGCGATGGTTTTGAAGTCAAGATCGATGATCAATCTATTTACCCTGTCCGTCTACTTTGTGAATAGTTGTCTGTAGATAGGGCGTCTAGGCGATGGAATGGGTTCGTTATTATTTTGCAAGCTATTGGTAAAATTGAGCTATGCTGTCAATACCATCCAAGACGCCTTTAGTAAAGCATTGACAACATCGGCACCTTGTAAGTGTTATTTTGCAAGATACGCTGCCTGGATGCAATTTTAAAGTAAAATCATGACCGTAGGCGTAGATGTACGCCAGAATTGAAATAAATAAATAATTGGTTAGTAACTATACTGTACTACTGTCTAGAGTAGATGCACTTTGGATGCATTCATTTCATTTGATGCTTTTATTATGTGTTGATGGAATGAATGGCAGGCCAACTACCATGTTTACGCCCTACAATAGAAAATTCGTGCATCCGTAGGCTTGTCTATGACATCAAGATCCGGCATTTGGAGATGATAGTAAAATGTAGCGTAAAAAGGTGTGGGCGAGAGTAAGTGATGACTTGATACAGTACCACTACTGTAGTCATTAGGCTAGAGTTTGTGGTATGCAGTAGGACTGCAACTGGCATTCTAGTCTAGACAGAGAAGAGACTGATGATGATGGCCGATAGTATCACAGTAACTGGGATAACGCGATAGTCAGAAGTAGAGTAGAGTAGTCTCTCTTTTCTCCATACAGTACAGGATTAGTAGAGAGAGTAGAGACCAAAGGATCTCTTGTGTACAGTGCGATACCACCGTGTTGTTGTGTAAGATGAGAAATACAATTTTTACTCGACTGTTGTTATTAAGTTAATAACATGATAATTACTGACAGTTTCAAAAAATTTAAACTATCATCACTAAAGATACGTTGCACGTCAAGCAATACACAAGTTCTGTAACAAACCTGCTAGGTTGGACGTACAGTTAACTACAACACACTCGTCGATGTACAGTATAAATAATAATAATAATGAATGATATCAATCAATAAATTAGGGAAAGAGAACTGCAAAAAATGATGAAGTTCAAAATAAATAGGATATCACCATGATCATCGTTATTATCGCCTACAGTATGTACTGTATGTACAAAATCATTCTGCATTGAGCTACTATCAAGTGGTAGACGTAATTGAATCGATTCTACTCGTCTACATTCATATACATAGACAACTGCATCCAATGGCAGAAGAGTACGATCCAATGGAAATGAAATTTGCCTATCAAGCTAATACTCCACTCATCCTATCATATAGTACATTATAAAGAAATAGTTGTTGGGATCCTACTTTCAGTAGTCAACAATACTCAAATAGAATTGACCGATAGCATTCATTTTCGTCTTGGAAAATAATAATATAACGAATACGTTGTTGTATACCTGGTCAAATGATGAAGTCACTTGTACCAAATGCTGTGTGTAATCGACGGTAGTGCCAAGGCAGCGGTAGAACAGAAAATGAGATCGAATTAGTGCACCCAATAGAGGCTGTCAAAGTCAACTAAGCCCACTTTAGTACTGCACTTTCTTGATGTTCCTATCTTGAATCTGAACTGGTTCTTATGCGATGATGTACTTACAGTGTACGTAGAATGTATTGGAACAATTCTTGTTGCTGTCGGTCGATCGATCGATGTTTTGAACAAGGGAGGGCTTGTACTAATTAATTAATTAATTAATAAGGTGGAGAAATGAAAGTCTAGCAATCGATAACTGGTTTGGATGAATTAATTTTCGAAATCAAACGATAGCAATCAATGTAGGACTTGAAGCGATGGGTCAAAATTGGTTTAGTTCCGATTTTGTTGCTCCTAGTAGTATTTTGTCTCCAAAGTAATGGAGCCATCCGATTGTAAACATACATATTTATATCTGCTGCAGCCGATGGTAGTTACTATATACCCATGGCATCTATTGTTGACTGAATAAGCAACAAAACACCTACTCCCTTGACGATTGTTCATACTAATGTATTGTATAGATTACCGACAAACAAGCAACAATAGTCAACAACGACTAAAAGTAACTTTGGTACTGTACAGTACAGTACAAATTACTGTACAATGCAAGCAATCAGTTGGGCCCGACTGTGCTGTACAGTACAGTGTACTGTACTACAAGCGAGCGACGGATCCTTTCGTTGACGCGTCCTGGGCGGTGGCACGTGCCGATTGACGTAATGACGTAATTACTGAAATTGAAAACTTAATTACAATCATGATAATGAAAACGTAAACCGATTGATTGTAGCCAGGCTGTTTACTACCCACTTGAGGTATTATGAAATGCGTTGGTGGCATCAGTAGAGCATAGTATCGACGTCAAGGAAATGCAATACATAACACTCAGCCAAGCAGACAATAAACGGGCAAAAATAGGAATCAATTCAAATTACAATGATGAAAGAGATTTACCATTTTTTTCTAAGTTCAATGAATGAACGATAGCAAGAGCAATGAAGCAAATAAAAAGAGAATCAACATGAACAAAGCTCCATCATTTGACGATACAATTCGTTATCATTACATAGTCAATACTTTTTTCCTGAGACTGAAAGCAGTCAAATCAATCAATGACTTTTCCTAGTAGCGTGTGTACGTAGTAGGTATTAGCCTGCAGGGGCTACTGATCCAATGTCATCATTCCCCCCACCCCAGCCGATTGACGTCCTAAGGATGATGCATATGGTACAATTCAACTACTGTATCGCTTCTTCTTTCAATCAATCAACAGAATTGCATTTTTCCCTTAATTCTATTCTCAACGCCCAAGACGTAGACCTAATTGACTATAAGTAGACCACTTCATGGACTGTTTTATCCGCCTTCTAGCCTACTGCTTCCCCTTTATCAGCAACAGTTTATCAAAGAAAGAAATCAATGAGCCCAATAGTAGACTACCATTATCCACAATACGCCAAAATATCACCATCGCACTATTCTAGTAGACTATTCTAATCCATCAACTGACTAATTGTATATTCCACTTTCCGTGATAACCATCACCCTTGAACTCTACTCATACTTCTATTTCCCGACATGGATTTATTATTTTTTTCTTCTTCTTCTTTGCTTGTTGTAACATCATAGCAATCAGCATGAGTTACTCTCTTCAAATTACTGTCTATCATAGTTTACAGGTCCGGTCACTAGGGATCGTGTGATGACAATATACGCCATAATTAGAAAATTTCTTTCATTGTCTTTTTTTACAGTTTAGTCAACTCAATGCACCTTGTGTTATCAAGGTATCCAAGAAAAAAATACTCTGTGGTTAGGGAAAGTATAGAAGATTCTGATAGGTAAACAGCTAAAGCGTCATGATGCTTGATACGGTACAATACTGTCAACAGCCATAAAACTGTCCTCCTTCAAACCTTGGTCTATCCCTATCATACGGAGGAAATAGAATAAAGACTACGGTCGTTATACGGAGGACTTTTGAAGAAAAAAAACTTTTCTCTTTCTATTTACAGTATAAGTCCCCCTGCCTTTACTGTACAGTACAGTATTCGGCAGTATCCATACTCTACAGTACTGTATTGTACTGTACTTTCAGTTTTGCAGTACAGTACTGTACAGTTTGTCCCAATCCCGAAAAACTTTGAAAATAAAACAATGAAATTTCTGTCGATTTTCAATAAAATACAGTACAAGTCAATCGATAGAGGAAGAGTTAAATTACAAGAATCCGTTGACAGAATTTGTATAATGTACAGTCTACATACTGTACTGTACACTATGACAGTAGAGCAGAGGTTTTCTTCTCGTGAAACATGTCTGTGAAGTATGCAGCGTGCGCGTCCAATTCGTATCGTGATTGTTCAATCGATTCGTGATTCGCTATAACTAAATGGATCTTTCTGCCGTGAATGAACTAAACTATGATATGAACTTGCATTTCATTTAGTGCAATCGAACGCTACAGCACCGTGCTACACAGCAGTGCTCAGAGTAGATCTATGTGTACGTTTTTCTGCCTAGATGTTGTAGCTCCGCTGGAAGTAAAAATGCATCAGCACATAAATAGCTATCGCCAATCAAAACAGTAAT